GTGTCTATAAATTCTTTAAATGTTTAATTTTTTAATTTATTGGCAACTCCATTAGCTTTAATTTCTGTAATTTGTTTCTGTTGTCTTTCCTGTTGATGTTCGGTCTCTTTGTATATTGGGCTTCCCTGATAGCTCAGTTGATAAAGAATCTGCCTGGAATGCAAGAGACCCTGGTTCAATTCCTGGGTCAGAAGGATCCCCTGGAGAAGGGATGGCTACCCACTCCAGTATTCTTGGGCTTTCCTTACCGCTCAGCTGGTAAAGAAGCCGTCCGCAATGCGGGAGACCTGAGTTTGATACCTGGGTATTCTGGCCTGGAGAATTCTATGAACTGTATAGACTCGCAAAGAGTCGGACATGACTGAGTGACTTTTACTTTCACTGTTTGTATACTGGATTATTGTTTGAAAATGAAAGTGTTAGTCGCTCAGTCACGGCCACCTCTTTCAGTTGTGTCCAACTCCTTGTAACCCCATGGACTGTAGCCTGCCAGGCTCCTCTGTCCATGGAATTCTCCAAGTGAGAACACTGGAGTGGGATGCCATTCCCTTCTCCAGGGGATCTTCCCAGCTCAGGGATCAAACCTGGGTCTCCTGCATTGCAGGCAGATTCTTTACCGTTTGAGCCACCAGGGAAGCCCAGATTATTTTTAAAGGAGCGTAAAGAGCTGTGTTTTATGGGCACACCATGTATACAGCATATGTTTAAATTGTCATGTTTCTTTAAGAACATTTTACCATCTGCTCATCAGTTCTACCTACAATATTAATGCCTTTATGATTCAAGTACTTCTTTAATAGATGATAGGACTCACTTTATATTTTGAATGACTTTTATTTTTAGGTCAAAATCACATAAAATGAATAATCATGAGAATTATTGTGGTGTTTTTACAATGTATACAAATATCAAATTGTTATATAATTAAACTAATATGTGCCAATTATACCTCAAAATTTTTAATTAAAAAATAATTCCATGGCATTTAGTATATTCACAGTGTTGTACAACCACCACATCTACCTGGTTCCAACACATTTCCAACATCACGAAAGTCCACGTTCGTTAAATAATCACTCCTTTTCTCCCAACTCAAAACAACCTTGGCAACTACCAATGTTTCTACGAATTTACCTATCCTGGATATTTCATACAAATATAAACACACAATATATGAATCTTTGCATCTGACTTCTTTCACTTAGCAGTTTTTTTCAAGGTTTATCCACACAGTAGCAGGTATCAGCACTTCATTATTTTTATGGCTAAGTAATAACCCATTATATGTATTTTATCCATCTTATGTTTATGGACACTTGTATCATTTATAGTGCTAACATGAACATCTGTGTACAGATGTGTGTGGATGAATTTTTTCTTTTCTCTTGGATAGCTATCTAGTAGATTTGCTGGGTCAAATGGTAATTCTACATTTATCTTGTTTAGGAACCACCAAACTCTTTTTAAACAGTGGCTGACATTTTTCATTCCCACAAGCAGTATATGAGGGTTTCCACTGACTATCTTCACCAGCACTTATTTTTTGTTTTGGGCCGCACTGTGCATCAGGCAGGATCTTGGGTTCCCCAACCAGGGGTCAAACCTGGGGCCCCCTGTGGTGAAAGTGCAGAGTCTTAGCCACTGGACCAACAGGGAAGTTATTTTGTTGTTTTTGTTTTTGTTATTTTGTTTTTACTACGGCTATTCTTGTGAATGTGAAGTGATATTTAACTGTGGTTTTAATTTGCATTTTCCTGAAGACTACACTCTTGCTGCTTTCAAGATTTTGTCTTCAGTTTTAACAGTTCAGTTATGTCTTGTGGATCTCTTGAGTTTATACTGTTTGGACTTGTTGAGCATCTTGGATATGCAGCTTTGAATGTTTTAGCAAATCTGAGAAGTTTTCAGCCATTATTTCTTCAAGTATTCTTTCTGCTCCTTTCTTTCTCTTATCCTTCTGGTACTTTGTTTTTGCAAATGTTATTTCATTATGCTCTACAGGTCTCTTAAATTCTATTTGTCCTCCATTTTTTTTCTCTCCTGATTCTCCAACTGGACAATTTCAATTGACTTAGCTTCAAGTTCACTGGCTTTCAATTGCCTGTTCATACTATTGGAAGCCTCTAGTGATTTTTTTTCACTTCAGTTACTTTTCAGCTCCAGATTTGTGTGTGGTTCCTTTTTACAATTTCTTCACTGATATTCTCTATTTGTTGAGACAACTTACTGGATTCCTTTAGCTCCGTGAGCATAATTGAAACAGTTGATTGAAATTCCAAAGTTTATGCTCCCTCAAAAAGTTTGTCAATTTCTTCTGTGAATGAGCCATACTTTGCAAAATACCCAGTTTTTTGTTGAAAACTGAACATTTGAATATTATGGTAACTTTGGCTATCAGATTCTTCATGCCTCGTGGTTTGTTTTTGTTCCTTACTGTGGGCTGTAGCAGTTTAGTGACTTTTCTCAACTTTTTTTTGTAACGTCTCACTTGACTTTTCTTTGAAGACTTTTTTGCTTGTATTCAGCTAGTATTGACAGATTTCCTTGAATGCAGGTGGCAAATATATATATAAGACAAGAATTAAAACAAAAGGGGAAAAACCTCTTCCCAGTCTTTGTAGAGTGGCTATATTGGAGCACTCCTTTAGTGCTTAGCTAGATCATTTTTAAATCTGCTTAGCCTTCACTTCCTACTTGTGTTGAGCCCAGAGTTCAGCCACCAGTTAACACTTAGGTCTTCTCAGGTCTTCTCTAAACATGCAACTTGCCCTAAACATAGATGGCTTTCTCAGTTCCCTAGTATACACTGTTGTTTTTGAATAGCCTGATTTCCCTAGGAAATTCTCTCCCATTATTTCCTCTGAGGCTTTGGGCACATCTTTCTTTACCTCAACTGTAATCTTTTGCCAAACGTGGCAGCAGGTTTTTGCTTACAATATTTTTGAGAAATGCCTACCGTTTTTCAACCTGAGTTCAGAGTTAGCTGAAACAAAGGAAAGTGCCTTGCTTCAGTCCTTCATGTTGGCCTAAACAGATTTCAATAGATTTTTGAGATTAAAACTGCCTCAGCTTCTTCAGGACCAGGGAACAAGGTCCCACTCTGAGACCCACAGGCTTCTGCCTGTCTTCAGGACTACCACAGAGCTGGGAAGGGGGATGGAGCAAGGGCAAGTAAAACACCAAAAGGCTTTTCTAATTTTTAGATTACTTTTTTCCTGATGCAACATTTGCTTGGTTCTATAAACTTCTGTTTTTCCAAGTTATGACAAAATTATTTCTGAATGTTTTCATCTCTGAGGAGGAATGATGGGTCCTTGAAGCTACTCTATTTTTGCTGAAGGTTATGTTTTGAGTGCTTCACGCTATAGTAAAAAGTACCGAGTTAACTTAAGGCTCTAGATGTTAAAATTCTCCTGATTTATTTTGGCTTCTGTAGGCTGTTCAACCAGCTGCATTAGCATTCCTAGATAACCTTCAAACAGTTTGGGAATGAGATGGCTTAAAGCTGGACTTCAGGCCCTGTGAGGGCCAATCTGTTTCTCGTTCATCTCACACTAAGGTGTAGCCCCGTGGAGTGCAACTGAAAGCTGGGATGTTCCTTGCTGATACCTGTGCAGAAGTTTATTTTAGGGATTTTTAATACAACTTGCTTAACTCTGTAAACATACCCACTGCAAAATAAGAAACAATGAGACAAGCAAGTTAATGTAGAGATCAAATTTATTAATCATGGATTTACCCAGGGTAGCTTATTTTTATTAGATATTATTCATAGCTTGTATTGACATCTGATTTTGCAGAGAAATTATACGATCATTTTTATGAAGATAATTAATACTCTGCAAGGCAAATTGAGTTGCTTGAAATAGCACGTTTTCTAATTCTCCAACAGAGCTTGGTTTTAGTTATCAAAATCAAACTCTGAATTTCTACACTTAACTTGATGTGGCACAAAATTTATTCTTTGCATATATTTGCTAAGTGCTCTGGTTCTTCATGCTGAAACATCCCAATTTCCAGAAATTTGGTTGCTAGACCAAAAGAATATCAGGGGCCTTCAATTAAGGGTTAAGATTTCAGTAAAGAAAAATATATATATACATATTTTATTATATACAAAGAACAACAAAAAGTTTTACCAAGTAAACAAAAGAATATAAATTACATTCATAATCAATAGCTTCAAAAAGCCCTTAAATCAGTGTGACCTTTTACACAAGATAAAGGCCTCAAAATGGGGTCACACAGCCATTAATCAGAACTCAGGGTTTTTCTCCCATAATAGCAATGTATATTCTGGAGAGGATGGCTTTTTGTGAACTCTGTAGGAGCTAATATGTTAGGCCTCATAAAGGAATGAAATGCTTTTTCACTTCTGGGGGAAACAAACAGGATACTTCCAGGGTTATGTTTACTGTTGACAATGATTTTAGAGATAACCACAGAAAAGTGTCAAAGATTTCTAGATAAAACTCTGGCTATCTCATAATAATGGATAGATACCATTTTCTAGCTCTACAAATGGCTTGGTGACAAAAAGGGAGAAAGTGAGCTGAGCAGGCAGAATGAAAAAGTCTAGGGAAGGAGGCAAGGAAAGATAAACATAATTCAATCATAGCAAGAAAAGAAAGGATATGGCCTTCCTAAGACCAAGTCCTGGTGATATTTACCTATATAAGTTCAAGCCTAAAAGAACACTGCAGCATCTATCTATCTGCTATTTAGTAATATACAAGAAAACATTTTTCATTTGTTCTGAAAGCGCTATTTTATATCAAAAGCTAGAAATACATATTTACTCCATGCAAATCCCAAATGAAATCCAACTTAACATGGAACTACAGCAATGACAGAAAAATAGATAGTAAATTCAACTACATTTACAGTACTGCCTTGATATTTTCTACTTGTTTTTAATCTACACACAAGGCTCAAGTTCTGGGGTTACAGGTTTTATTTTTCGTTTCCTTAAAAAGTAAAATTACCAATCCTCAAGTTAACTAAAAATTGTTCTGGGCTCGTAGAGGTAATCTGCTCTTCGTAACAGGTTGCTCTATGATATCTTCTACTTTAGACTTCTCCAATGGATTAGTGCCTCTGTTTTCTTTGTCTTTTCCATGTGATTTTTTATGCTGTGGATTTAAGGGAGAAAATTAAGTCAATATAAAGTAACATGTGACACATATTAATCATATTCTATTTTCAAAATTCTCTGGTTTACAGGGAAGAAATTAGGTGTGGAAAACTTTAGAAATACTCAGCGCAAATTTGAGCTAACACTTTGCCTGGAAAGTAGAAATGAATGCCTTCTTATTTTATCACCAAGTGGGGGGTGTGCTTGAGAAAGGAATTTAATTTTCTGTATGGTTTTCCAAAAAAATAATTACAGATTTTACTGTAGGGCCATGGTTATCAACAGGGAGACTTTTGCCTCTCGGGATGTTTGCTTCTCTCTGAAGATGTTTTTGGTTGTTAAAGCTAGAGGGGTACCGCTGGCTTCCAGTGGACAGAAGCCGGGGAAGCTGCTCATGAATACCATGTAATACTCAGGACAGGTCACCACAACAAAGAATTCGCCAGCTCAAAATGTCAATAGTGCTGCTGCTAGAAATCATGCTCTAGGGAAACAAAGATGGGCTACTGTACAAAAATGGCAATTCTGGGACTTCCCCGGCAGTCCAGGGGTTAGGACTCTGTGGTTTCACTGCCAGGGCCAGGGTTCAATACCTGGTCAGGGAACTAAGATCCCATGGGCTGTAAGATGCAGCCCCCCTCAAAAAAAAAGAGGTAATTCTATTTTAAGCATAGATCTATAGGCTATCTCAAGATACTTTTTATTTAGCCTATATTCTATCTTTTAAAAAACTTACTTCATGTTTCTCATTTGGGAATACTACATTGGAGCCCCTGTGCCTGCCCTTGGAGAGCCTTGGCTAACTGATGACTTCCTTGTAGACCCACTCATCAATTCTTAGACAAACTGTAAAGCAACTTTGGAGTTCCTAACCTAGAAAACTTCCCCAAATCAGATAGACACCAGAGAAAAAAATAACTTCTGGACTTCAGCTAAAGGTCTCAAATCCAATCCCAAGTCTTTTCTGGTGCTGTAGGGACTTCCTTGCCATAACTGAGCCACTAAGCCTGGCCTTCAGAACATCATATGCTGTAATAATGAGAGAATTTTCAAATAGGGATTAAGCAGTCACTAAAGTTCTCTTATCTTTCCCTTTCCTTAATTTTATAAGATGGGAGAGAGGGCTGAAAAATAGAAATATATCTAGCATTTTTTAATAGTAAAGAATAAAGCAAAAGGTAGGAAGATTTGGGGGATAAAATTGCCTTGATGAAGGGAGGGAGGAATTTAATAAAATCTGAGCTAGAGCAGCTCAGATTAATAGGTTAATAGGAACCTAATAGCTTAATTTAATAGTTTAATAGGAATGGAGACTCTTTAGATCATGGTGAAAGCATAGACACATCAGAAGCAGCACTTCAACTATGATATAAAATGTAGACATTAACATCCTATGTAAGGAAATTCTTACTTCACAGACTCTGTCTAGGCTTATGCCTTTAAATGAGAGGGAAAGAATAGACAGTTTAGTGTTATACTCCCAAAAGTGGTGAAAAGGGGGAAGGAAAGGGCACAGGATGTAAATGCTCAAGATCAAGGCAGGTGAGAAGTGCAGGCTACCTGGGGGAATAGTTAATAGGAGAAAAGCCTCAGGCAGGAGACTCAGTCTTTAAACCGGAGAGGCATTCAATCTCAATTTAAATGTTTTAGCCTTCAAAGTCTGGCTGTGGGCAGAGATAGGCTCCAGGACATCCACGTCAAAGGTGGAGGGAAGAGAGAAATGACTGCTTTTAGTATCATTCTGAGTATGGAGGAAGTAGAAAAGGGGTAAGGATAACAACAGAAGATTACCAGCCAAGGATGGGAATAAGTCAAACTTTGCGTTTGTTTATCCTACCAAAAAATCCCTAATCAATTATACTTGTGTAAATTCTTTAAACCAGAAAAGTTAACAAGCCATCCCAAAGGAATGACTAAAATATTTTTCCTGTTCCATCCATCAAGAGCAATGCCTTTATACTGGATAGCAAATGACAGATTTATGTTAGATGTGGAAGGGTTATATAACAAGATACAATCAGGTACCTGGAAAAATGGAACCCCACCACTTGACGAACAATCCAAACTAGTATCTACAGATGGTTCCTGAGCTAGAGGTTCTTCAACAGTGAGCACCGGAACCGAATTTTCTTCATCCAAGTCCTAAAAGAAGAAGCTAGATGAATTGATAAATTCCCAGGGCTTAAAAATCTTCACATGGTGGGGGCAGGGTTAAAAAAAAAATCTTCACACAAGGCAGTTTTCTTCTTTGAAAAATAACACAATGTCCATTACTTAAAAGTTAAACCTCAACAAAATTAGCAGAAAGTCTACAAAATAATAAAAATAATTCCTGTTATGTTTTCACATAGAGAAGTACCTATAATAAAGTGTTAAATGTGATAATCTCAGAATAAAGAGATTATAGTTTACTTTTTACTTTCTTCTTTGTTCCTTTCCAATTTCCCAACTTTTCTATAATTACTGTAGTTAAATGCACAGATTGTGGAGATTTTCTATGTTCTACTTCCAGCTCCATCCTTGTGATTTGGGACAAGGTAATTCTTAGTTTCCTCACCTGTTAAAATGGGGATAGTACTAGCATTCACCTTATGGAGTTACTGAGAGAATTAACTAAGTAAATATATATGTAAAATGCTCAGAACAATGTCGAGCACATAATAAACACAACATAAACACTGTCTAGGGCTTCCCTGGTGGTCCAGTGGCTAGGAGTCCGTCTTGCAATGCAGGGACATCGGTTGGATCCCAGGTTCAGGAAGAACCTACATGCCAAGGAGCAACTAAGTCCACGTGCCCCAACTCTTAAAGACCACACACCTGGGGCCTGGCTCTGCGACAAGAGCAGCCGTCGCAACTGGAGAGCAGCCCCCGATTGTCACAACTAGAGAGAGCCCTCATGCAGCAACGAAGACTTGGCACAGCCAAAATAAGTAATACAATAAATAAATAAAGGTAAATTAAAAAAATAGTTTATGGGAGAATTCTAAAATTATGATGCCTAAAATAAATTTTACCTGACTAGTCTCTTCATTGTTTTCTGAACAGTTTAGCGTTGTTAACAGCTCAGGCTGTTTAATTTTCAACTGATCAAGGAGTTGTTCACGTGGCTGGGTTCTCACCAGTGTTGATGGGTATACATAATTTTTCCTCCGTGGGGTCGTACCTTTAGTGGATATAAGTGGTAAAAATTGAAATGTGGCTTATGAGTATGGTTTTTTTAATTGAACAATAATTGTTTTATAATATTGTACTGATTTCTGCCAACATTAACATGAATTAGTCAGTTATACATATGTCCCCCCACCGAACTTCTCTCCCAGCAATTTTTTTAATGCTAAAACTTATACTTCCCAGTAAGTCTTTGTCTTCCAAAAATATAACTACTGCCACATATGTGAATCAATTCTGTTATCTGTCAGGCATATGTTGCTTAAAATATTTCCTATATTGACAACTCAACCAACTGCAAGATCCAACCTATGCCAAAACATGAATTTTTCCACCTACAGAAGATGTATTGTAGGCTCTAAAAGGATTCAGAGTGTTCTAAAAAAAATGGCAACATTACTGGAATAAGACACAATTTTCTCAGCATGATCAGTTAGATAGGAATAATCATTTTACTGTAAATTTGGTGGAAAGTAAATATTAACCAGCTACATTTCTTTATAATAATTCATGTTCTCATAATTTACACAGGCACTGGCCTTTTCACTTAACATTTATATTCCTAATTTCATTGAAAAATGGATAATAAATATCAAGAGTCTTGGGGGAAAAAAATTAACTAGCATCCTTTAGTGCCATCTCCTTTTATAACTGCTTAAAAAAAAACAAAAACAACTTTAAAGTATAATTTACATACCACAAAATACACTCAATGATTTTTAGTAAATTTACAGAGTGTCACGACTACCGCAACCTAATGAATAACTCAATTACTCTTCCTGTGTTAAATAGTTTGTTACACCTTTTCTCATGAAGGCCTCCCTGAATACATTATAGCTTATAATGCTGTGACCTCCCAAAATGGTAATTCCCGAATGCCAATCTAAACAGTCCCTGACAAAAGGAGAGGTACACATAAAAAATGTACAATGTGGTAAACCTTGCATTAAACTAGATTTATTTAATTACATTCCTCCATTTTTGGTATTAAAATGTCCTTTTACAAACAGTGCTAGATAGATGGTAGGCTTTCTTTCTTTTTTTTTTGGTAGGCTTTCTTTTTGTGCTCTCTTTAGCACATTTCTAAAATGTGCTCTCTTAATAAAGCCAGTTACCTGAATGTTTGTAAACTCTTACTGAATTATGATTGCCCAAGTTTCTGGGAGCATATGCCATGTATATCATCTAATGCTTGATTAAACCTACTTTATGATTCCAGTTTTTCCATATTTGAGTTAATCAGAGTGAGATGGTAAATCTGTGTCAGGGAATGGCAGGACCTAGTTTCTAGGAACAACTAGCACTGTATACAGTTGAATTCAACTTCAAAAATTTTTTAAATCAATTTCCCTTTAAAAGTACCTGTTGGGATATCCAGTTTCAGATCCTGTTGTAGAAAGCAGTTAAGCTTAGTCAAACCCATTTTTACGGTTTTATTAAGTTCTTGACTTCGTGTCATTAATTCTTCTTCATCAGTAGTTATCTGACTGAGAAAAAAGTTTTGCTGGTTCTCATTAGCTGCTTTATGCCCACTTAATTGTTCAGTAAGCGCTAAACTTGAAGTCTCACAGCCTTGGTTTACAACCTGTAAATGATGCAAATGAGATTTCATTACTAAGATCAAAGTTGCCCGTCCTTTATGCAACATTTTAAATTCTTACCTTGAAATTTTCCATAACAAAGGTTTTAGAAATACACGTAAAAGTATAAATAGTAATACTAATAACCTCTTTATATTCACTACCCAACCTCACCGTTTATTACTACATGGGATATAGATCAATTAAGACTGGCCAGTTACTCCTGCTCTCCACCAAGACAGCTCTGAAACAATTTCTGTATCATTTTATCCTTTTACATTGCATATTTCTCCAAGAGTTAAGAACTTTTTAAGATCACTCTCACATCTAAATGGCATCACCGACTCAAGGGACATGAGTTTCGGTAAACTCTGGGAGTTGGTGATGGACAGGGAGGCCTAGCGTGCTGCTGTCTATTGGGTCGCAAAGAGACACGACTGAGCAACTGAACTGAACTGAACTCACATCTAAAAAATTTAGCATTCCTTTCTTTACATCAAATGTCTAGTCAGTGTTTAAACTTCATGAGTTCTCTCATGTTTTTCAGACTTGTTTGAATCAGAATTCATCATTAGATTTGGTTGATGTCTTAAGTAAATGACTATATTTCTCATCAAAACAGATATTCTAAGAGTAAAAAGGGCCATTAACAATAATTACCCCAGTGCAATAAATATAAACAAGGACTATGCTAGGCAAACCACGGCTTAAGGCCCTCTAGGTCTGAACTCTTTTGATATAGGTTATCCATACTTTCTGCTTTGAAAGAAAATTTCATTGAAGAAACCAGGTAATTGTGCTCTACTGAATATCTCAATTATTAGATATGTTCAATTGCACCTCTGTTATTTTCACATGTTCATTTGTCCTCTGTATTTTCTACAAATTAGTTAGATCTAAAGGCTTGATCTAGACCAGGTTTTAACTTTTTGGCAAGAATATTTCATAGGTGGTACTGAAAGTACATAATGCCTGGTTGTGTCTCTCACATTAAGATTAATCGGTGTGGGGAATTCCCTGGTCGTCCAGTGGTTAGGATGCTATGCTTTCACTGCCACAGGCCGAGGTTCAGTCCCTGGTTGGAAAACTAAAATCTCACAAGCTGCACGGAAAAAAATCAACCAGTGTGTTTGAGTATGGTCACCTTCTTAGTTATAAAGATCTCTCATCAGCTTTTGCTCAAATGGTATATGCAGTCACTAATGTCCACAAGGATTATTTCACTAGGGGTTTTGCAAGATGGTGATATCCTAATTCTATCATTTCTTCTGCATTTTACTAGCTGGAATTCTTTGAAACACTTTTCGTCATCCATTACCCTGCTAAACGAAGACAGAGTTCTTTCAGTAAAGACAGATGACCTTTCAATTGTTTCCCTTCATTTACTACTTCTTAGAATAATTTACTGCTTCCCTAGCATGAACCAAAGGAGACTAATGAAATTTCTATGAATTTATCTATTTTAACATATTTTATATATCTTAATCATGAGTTTGAGTAAACTCTGGGAGTTGGTGATGTACAGAGAGGCCTGGCATGCTGATTCATGGGGTGGCAAAGAGTAGGCCACGACTGAGTGACTGAACTGAACTACAGTGAATCTGTTGTAGCACTTATTCCTCATGATGCTCAAATTGTACCACCTCTAAATAAGGGAGTGTCTAGGTTGGCTCCTGAGTCTTTCTGAGACAATTCCATTAATCTTTAACAGCATCTTTACTTTCTGGTATGACAAGATCTATAGGCTCATCTGGTATATTTCCTGCTCTAAACCTGAAATTACCTATTTTTCTACTAGTCATGGTTCCTTTTTGTGAAAATAGGTTATATAGATTAAAACACTTAAGTTATTTTATCTAATTTGTAAGAATAGTAGTAAAATCCTTTCATTGCACAGAAGAAAAACCAAGCCACAAAGGGTTCATGCAAATATTAAGTTCAAGCAAACCCACAAACCTATCAGATGTCTTCTGAGTAACCAGAACAATATCCTAAATACTTAAAGCAATAACAGGTTTGAATGTACCCAAACAAAAGTAAAAATCATTTATAAGTGAAAAGTATTATATACCAAAGGACAGCGTGCTCTAAACCAAAGTAACTAACAAATCAAAAACCAAAGATAGATATAGGACAGATCAGACAAATGTTAAATCATCTGGAGATCTAGGAAACGTATATGTGAAACAAGATCATGTATAAGCATACCAACTGTTATCCTTACAATTTTAAGTTATTCATTATACTTTAGCATGTGTTTTGAAGTCAATTCTTAGCCAAGAATATAAAATTTTCTGATTATCACTGTTCTCCCCAAGGGAGATTCCAGTTACAAAGTAATTACCTTCAATAAATTCTGAAGTTCCTCTTGCCTTTTACTTAACCAAGATGCCCACCGTTCAGAAAAACAAAGTGTGCTTGTGTTCAGAGCTTCGCATCTCTGTTCGGTCTCTTTAGAAATTATTTCAAGGTTGCTACTGAGTTTATCACAGTGTTTCTTAGACTCTTCAACCAATTTTGTATGTTCTTGGTTAAAATGTCTGAGTTCCTCTGACAAATCATCAAAATCAGCACAAAATTTTTCACTCTGAGAAGTTGTTTTCCTAATTATATCTTTAGATTTCCTACAGGAAAAGAGAACAACACTGTTAAAATGGAAAACTAAGACTCAAAGGATACATAGCTTGCCCAAGATCACACAGCTCAAAAATGGAATATTCAAACCTAAGTAGTCTTATTCTAGAGTTCAAGTTCTTGTCTTTTCACAGCAGACCGATATCACATCTGTGACTAAATGACTTTTGAAAATATCTCTTTTCTTATAAAAACTTTTTCAGCCCTTTTCCAGATGTGACACTTTACTTCACACCTCTTAGAATATTAACTATATAGTTATTAAAATGAACTCTGCCTAAGTGTTTTAATCCTTCCATGTTGCTCAGTGATAAAGAATCCACCTGCAATACAGGAGATGAGGGTTCAATCCCTGGGTTGGAAAGATCCCCTAGAGAAGGAAATGGCAACCCACTCCAGTATTCTTACCTGGAAAATCCCATAGACAGAGAAGCCTGGCGGGCTACAGTCCCAGGGGTTGCAAAAAGGCTGGACACAATTTTAGCAACTAAACGACAAATTATGTTACTCAAGAACATCTCCTATTGCCTCTAGTTTATAGTCCCTAAACTGTCCACAATCAGTTAAGTCATTCTGTTCTTAAGCAGTTTTGCCTTGTCTATGACACAAAATAAATAAAAAACTATAAATATTATAGAACAAAGTCAGTTATAAAACTTTCTAATAATTAAAAGACAAGTATATTGAGGTGTGACAAACTATACATATAGCACATATAGTGCAATGAAACATAATGCTGATACGAAACTAATATCAAAATATATATTTAAAATTCATCAGTGGCTTCCTTCTCTCCTTAAAGTTCCCTATAATATCAATAGCATTCAAAGTCATCTCATAGGAGCAGAGTTAAACTTTGGGGAATGAAGGTTACCCTCTACTACCACTAGATGGTACACCATGTGAGCAAATTAAGTGGGGAAGCAAATGTGCCCAAAACCAAAGTTCAGCTACAGATAAAGTGGAAATAATTGAAAAAGGAAAAGAATATTAAGTGGTAAGCTTGCAGGTTATTGACACAAATCCATCCCCTCAAGGAATCAAAACCCACTAGAAATAAAAAGTAGGGAAATGCTTCCTAGATTCAGAATCTAGAAGGAAGAGTTCAGAATGGAACATGATATAATGAATAGGACCAACAGAATTGAAAAACTGATGACAGGAGTTAGTAGTAGGAGAGGTGACATCTAGAATTCTAGAGCTGCGTCATTCAATAGAAATATGAGTCATATACACAATTTAAAAATTTCTAGAAGCCATATTAAGAAAGAAAATAGATAAAGCAGAGGAACAATGTACTGGGTAAATATAGCATATTATATATGTATAAGTAAAATATATGAAAACAATGTGTATGAGATAGGAAGGAGGAATTGGGAATATACTGTTAAGGTCCTTTCATTATACATGAAACAGCAAACTATTTGGAGGTGGATTAAAATTATTTTAAAATATATATTATTAACCTTAGGAAAACCAGTTTTAAAAAGTAATTTTAAAAGCATAAATGAAAAGTCAATGGGAGATAAAATGAAAACATAAAGATGCTTGACTTAAATTAGGAAAGGAAAAAATGAAAACAAAGCACAAATGATGCAACAAATAGAAAATGACAAAATGGTAGGTTTTAATCCAACCATACCAATATTTAAATGAGAATGGTCTAATCACACCAGCTAAAAGCCATACATCGTTAGACTTGATTAAAAAAAAAAAGAAGATCCAATTATATGTTGTCTTATATAAGAAATCCACTTTAAAGACTTACTTCAAAAGTAAAGAGATGGAGAAAGCTATATTATGCAAATAGCAGTCAATAGAAAACTAACATTTTTTGTATTTAAAGAAAGTGAAAGTGAAGTTGCTCAGTCCTGTCTGACCCTTTGCAACCCCACAGCCTGTAGCCTGCCAGGCTGCTCCGTCCATGGGATTTACCAGGCAAGAATACTGGAGTAGGTAGCCATTTCCTTCTCCAGGGGATCTTCCTGACTCAGGAATCGAACCCAGGTCTCCTGCACTGTAGGCAGACTCTTTACCATCTAAGCCAGAACATTTTGAATTAATTTCAGACAGCAGACTTCAGAATAACGAAAATTATCAAGGATAAAAAGGGACTCTATTAATACATAATGACAAAAGGTCAATCCTCCAAGATATATCAACCCTACTGTGTATGCATCTACAACAGAGCATCACTTATATGAGGCAAAAACCTGACAGAACTGAGAAAAGAAATAGACAAATCTACAATTAAAGTCAATTTCAATACCCCTTTATTAGTAGAACAAGTAAACAGAAACTCAATAAGGATATAGGTGACCTGAATAGCACTACCAATTGTCCTAAATGACATATTTAGAACACGTTATTCATCAAAAGCAGAATACAGATTTTTCTCATATGGGTAGCACAGGAATGAAGCATGCCATAATAAAACTACTAGAGCTCTGAAAATTAAAGTGTTATTGGAATCACAGCCCCAAAAGGTGGGCCAAGACATTCCCACTTAAAAAAGACTTAAATAGGGTTCTGAATCGCCTAACATAATAAACAAAATGTTCAGGAAACAACTGAAAACTGCTCTGGAAAATCACACCTTGAATGAGTTAAGACAACAGGTACCAACACTGAGATAATTCAAATGTTGGAACAATTTCATAAGGATTTTAATCAACCTTCATAAAAATGTTTTCAATGAGCAATTAAAATACATCTAGAAAAAAGGGAAAGAGAATCTTAACAAAGAAATAGAAGAGATTTTTAAAAAGAAATAAAACATCTCACTGAATGGGTTCAACAGTAGATTAAACAGGACAAAAGAAGGGTCAGGGAGCATAAAGACAGATTATAGAATTTACTCAATCTTATCAAAAGAAAATAGACTATATATCTATAGTCTCAGAGAACTATGGGACCACAATAAAAAAAAAACAAACACTGAACATTTGTGTCATCAAAGTTCTAGATCAGAGGAGAAAAAATACAGTGCTGAAAAATGTTCAAAGACACAATGGAGGGAGTTCCCTGGTAGTCAAATGGTTAGGACTTGCTGCCATGGCCTGGGGTTCAATCCCTGGTTGGAGAACAAAGATCCCACAAGCTGTGTGCCAAGGCCAAAAAAAATCAATCGATCAATCTTGGTTTAAAAAAAAAAAAAGGATGAAAATTTCAAAGTCTGGTGAAAGACCTAAGTCTACAGATTCAAGAAGCTGCTGCTATGTTGCTTCAGTCATGTCCGACTTTTTGCGATCCCACGGACCACAGCCCACCAGGCTCCTCTGTCAGTGGGATTCTCCAGGCAAGAATACTGAAGTGGGTTGCCATGCCCTCTTCCAGGGGATATTCCTGACCCAGGGATCAAACCCATATCTCTTACCAGTTCTTTACCACTAGTGCCACCTTCAAGAAGCTGAGCAAACCCAAAGATAATTAAGTCAAAGAAATAATAAGTGAACACATATCTTGAAAGCAGCTACAGAGAAACTGCCTATACATGAACAAGATTTGAATAACTGTGTATTTCTCATCTCTTGGAGACCAAAAGGAAATGAAACAACATATTCCAGGTGCTGAAAGAAAAAACTTGTCAACCCTGAATTCTATAGCCAGTGAAAATATTGTTCAGGAATGAAAGGAAAATCAAGATATCGCCAGGCAAAGCAATACAGCATTTGTGGACAGCAGACCTACCCCAAAGACTAAAGGAAGTTCTCCAAACAGAAGAAAGCTTGAAACTTCAGGAAGGAACAATTTAATGGGCAAAAATAGGGGTAAGTATCAGAATATTCTTATCCTTGTGAGTTTATAATATCTACAGGCAAAAATCTTGACAAATCCCACAGCTTACACAAAAATTTAAAACCAGATCATGAGGAATTCCCTGACAGTCCAATGGTTAGGACTTCGTACTTTGACTGCCAAGGACTCAGATTTGATCCCTGGTCAGGGAACTAAGTTACTGCAAGCCATGTAGTATGGCCAATTTTTTTTTTTTTTAAACTCATGGATTTAAATCTTACATAAGGGGACTTCCCTGGTGGTCCAGTGGCTACGACTCCGTGCTCCCAAAGCAGGGACCCTAGGTTCGACCCCTGGTCAGGGAAGTAGATCCCACATGCCACAGATAGACCAGGTGCAGTCAAATAAATAAAAATAAAAATAAATAAATAAATAAATAAAAAATAAATCTTACACAAAATTATAAAACTTCTAAAAGAAAACATAAGTCTGATTGAGCTATATGATAAGGATATGAGACTGGCAAGCAATGAACTATAAAGTAACACTGAACACTAATGCAGGAATCAGCAAACTTTTTCTTTAAAATCCAGATAGCAAATATTTTAGGCTTACAAGTAATCTTTGATATACTCTTTGCAGTGCAAAAGCAGCTAAATACAGCCAAAGGCAACATATAAACAAACTGGCAGATGGAGTAAAGAAACATGGTTATGTCAATAAAATTATCTGCAGTAGCAGGCATCCAGCCCAGAATCATAGTTTGCCCAAACCCTGCTCTAATTAGTAAATATATATTTCATCATGAATATGAATTAGAAATTGTTAAATTACTTAATGTGTATTCTAAAATTGAGCAAATATGTAAATATATTGTGGATGAAAGCCAAGTTTCTCACAGAGTGAAAAAGCAGCACAAACATGGACTGAAAAGATACTTAGGTGTACATATATGTACACATTCACACATATATTTCCAGCTATGTCCACCTGAGAAGCCTTAGAAGAAATGACACCCCAGTAGCAGTAAGAACATCTAGTGCCCAGATCTTGGTTTCTATTACTATGATTTTAGAGCTGGAGCTGAGAAAGTACAAGATTACTGGAACACCACACTGTGTATCTGTCTGTTAGTCGCTCAGTTGTGTCTGCTTCTTGGCGACCCCTCAAAAAAGACAGATCATATCAAAAGGACATAGAAGACAACTTGAAGAGGCTCTCACTAGTCAAAACTGGGACAGGGAGCTCCCTGGCTGCCCAGTAGTTAGGGCTCCATGCTTCTACTGAAGGGGACACAGGTTTGATCCCTCTTCAGGGAACTAAGATCTGACATGACATGCTGCACAGCCAAAAAAAAAAAAAAATGATAATGACAACAAAACAAAAACCTGAGATAATTTGAGCATCAAAATAAAAAAAATAGTGGATTATAACCCAGAGGATAAAAGAATCCATGAGTACATGATAACATAAATGAATAAGAATAAATAGCAAGGGAAAGGGAAAGCTCTTCCTCTCAGTAGAATGCCAGCTAACATATGTAGAAGGAATGACTGGGTTAGAAAAAGATCACTTGACAACCACTATCATAATTATTGCAGACATAAGTATCAGTGGATTCTAAGAATAGGATACTTATATAGTTTCAAAGTATCACTCCTTAAGTTCTTTATTAATTGCAAAGGAACTTTACAGGGGAGAAATCTAGAGGACAACACTATACCCAAATTATCAAAGTTAAACCTCTTGAAATCTGAGCTGCACTAAGAACATACTATTTTTGTGTTATTCTTGACAACTCCAACTAACCATGAAGGCCACCCCAAATGAGGGACACTCTACTAAATAAATATTCCATGCTCATGGAAAAAGAAAAGGCCATGAAAGACAAAGACTAAGCAACTGCTCTAGATTAAAGGAGACTCAAAGAGACATGACAAATGGAAAGTGTGATTCTGAATTAAATCCTGGACCAGAAGGAAAATCTTTTTTTTTTTCTTATAAAAAACATTAGTGAGAGAATTGGCAAAATTTGAATTAGGTATGTATATTAGATAACAGTAGTCTCAATACTAACTTTCTAATTTAAAATAATTGTTATAATAGATAACTAATAAGAACCTACTGTATACACAGGGAATTCTAGTTAATATTCTATAATAACCTACATGGGAAAAGAATCTAAAAAGAAATAGGATATATGTATATGTTTAACTGATTCACTTTGCTGTACACTTGAAACTAACACAACATTGTAAATCAACTATATTCCAATAAAATTTTTAAAAAATTTTTAATAAAATAATTATTATATAAGACAGTATCTTATGTTTTTATGGTATACACTGAAGTATTTGGGGGAAAGTGGAGATTACAAAGACCCTAACTTATTCAGAAAATTATATATATATAGTATTATATATTATATAATATATATATCTGTATCCACTGTCATTCAAAAGATTGTTAATCTACAGGCAATATTATATAATACAACATACTAACTATATGGGCTCCCCTGGTGGCTCAGATGGTAAAGAATCCACCTGTAATGTGGGAGACCTAGGTTCGATCCCTGGGTTGGGAAGTTCCCCTGGAGAAGGAAACAACTACTCACTCCAGTATTCTGGCCTGGAGAATTCCATGGACAGAGAAGCCTGGTGGTCACAGAGAATCAGACATGACTGAGCAACTTTCACTTCAAGTAACTTCAACATAGTATATAATATTATATAAGTATTTAATATAATATATAATATTACAGAGAAAGGGGGAGAGAGGAAATGAGGATGATAAAATGAACATAATAAAATATGTGAGAAAATGGGTTGATAGTATTTGTACTATTTAAACTTTTTATTCAGAAATAATTTCAGATAGAGAAAAGCTAAAGCAAATTTAAAAACAGCTTACTGCTCTGTATTTTCTTGAACACTGCTAAGTGGTTTCTGGATGTTTTTACACTTTTCCTCCAAATCACAGTATCTCTCCTCCCAAAGATTCATTAACTGGTAAAGTTCCTATAAGAAAAGTGTGGGGAGGGAAAAGATTGAAATTATAACGGTTAAACTTTTGACTCCATGCTGATATAAAGTATTTTCCCATAGGTGGGAATGATGCACATTCCTGATAAGAGATCTTTAACTCCACCTCTGACAAAGGAAGGTAGTAGAAGTGATGTTAAAGGAATAATCATACTACAGGCACTTTTTAAAAAAGTAAATAATTAGAAAACTTTTAAATTAGCAAGCTATTTTAACTATAAGTAACAAGTTACTTTCAGTGTACCTCAGAACTAACCAAATATACCAAAAAAAGAACCATTTTGACAGATATACATAGTTGCTTCTTAACTGATAACACTACTAGAAGAAAAAGTAATGCTGAAAATTTAATGGATCAAGCAGTCCAAAAATATTATCAACTAATATAGCTGAAACATTTCATAGAACCTAGTTGGATCATTTTAATGTCAAAAGAGCTTATCATTTTCTCATATGTGGCATCTTGAAACACATCTTTGAATAACACACAGCTGACAATACACATTTAACACATTGATTTTGAATAAAATGTCAGTACTTCTGCTAATCTCAAAGTAGAGGGAAATGCAGGTATTAGATTTATCTACATGTAAATAGGTTTGTCAGTGCTAACCTCAAGTTCTAGAATATCTAGGAAACAGCTCAGTTAGTAAACCTGCTTCTTTTAAACCAGGGAAGTCAAGTCACTCATGCTAAAGTATTTCTCACATCATAGATGTTCCTCAGAATATATACCTAAAAAGATCTAGACAGGTTTAAGGCAAACACTCTATGAAGAGGTATAAGAAATTGCTGCAATTTCAAGAATATGTTCTAGTAACATACAGAAAAGCTCCTCCAAAAATGAATTCCTTTCAGGCAGTATAATCACCACCAGAGCTATAAGGGGATCTAAATACTGTCAGATGTTCCCAAGGACTCAGTTTCCTCATTAGAAAACTGAGCTAGTAATAGAACCTGTATCTCTACTGGTGGGAGGAATAAATACACAGTGAGTTGCTCAATAAATGTTAACTATTACTTGTACTAATTTCAATATTAACCTTTTGTGTGAAAAGTTTTATGCTTATCAATTAGGGAAACAACCTTATTTTAAAGTTGCTTTAATTTTTTTTTTCACTCCATCCAAGAGGGGTGTTTTGTTTTGGTTGGTTTGGTTTCTTTGGTCGCAGTGTGCAGCTCATGGGATCTTAGTTCCCTGGCCAGGGATTGAACCCGGGCCACAACAGTAAAAGCATGGCATCCTAAGCACTATACACCAAAGAATTCTCTCAAGAGGTTATTAAATGATTACACATGATAATGGATGATTCACAAGCTTCATTCCCATCTCAAACTTTACATGGCACCATAATTCAAGTTAGATATACTGCACAGGACGTGCCAACAATCCTATTAGTAACCTAAAAACTCCATGACTTTGCTTGCATGACCTTTTTAGCTGTGAATGCCAGGTCATAACACAGTAACTCTTAGTTCAACTACACCAAGCTTTCTGAAGACAAGGGCTTCTCCACCCAAGCAGGCTGTAAATAAATCCGGAACCCAGCATCACCCTGAAGGAAATCTGACTTCACAAAGTTGGGATAGTTTACCAAAATGGCTTCAGAGTAGACTGTTTTTAAAAAGACACATTTATTCAGTGTCATGATCAGACTATTACATTTAGCCATCAACAGAACAGGTGCAAAAAAATAAAATCTACATTAAAACTCTCTGTTGGAACGCTTTACACTTTCCACAGAACAGAAACTAAAATTGTTTCAATTTTAGTGAATAGTGTGACAATTAGTCACAAATATAGTTCTCAAGTTTTTCTGCCCATACTCATAAGTATTGTCTAAAAGGTGTCTTCTTTGAAGCAGCTAGGCTCTGCCACCACTGTTTTGGCTGAGTTCATAAATCTATTGCAACCTATAGCTTTCCCTGTTACTTCTCGGTTCTCCTCTCCTGCTAAGCTTTGTCTCCTCTGCCACGACCACAGCTACTGCTGCTGCTGGAACCACTACAGTCACCTGGGTTATTATGCAGATACAAGTTCACTTTAAATGTTATAATCATTTTCTTCTAATTTACTCCCAATGGAGTATTTCTGCAGCTTCATCTTTCTTCTTGATATGAAGAAAGGACTGTCTTGTCTCACTGTGCTCTGAATGTAGCAAATCATCAAATATTAACTGATCAAAAGAAGTACTCTTATTTCACATTAATTACTGTTATAAGCAAAAGTGCTGACAGTATTTTCAGGTTTCTAATTTAGTTATATAGCATTCAGTCTGTAACAGGGATCTAAAGATCATAAAGCTTTCTTTTTACACTCAAATTACCTATATACCTGTGATTGGATTTTCTTTGTTTTCTTCATGTCTTCAGTTAAGTTTTCACACAGCTTCTGTGATTCAGCCAAGGAAGAAACTGTATTTTCTTTTAGTTCATGTAGATTGTTACACAATGTACTAAGAAAGCCATCCATTTCCTTCTTCTGATCTTCTATCTTTGAAGAGAAAAAAAAAAAATTTTTTTTTTCCGTTTTTTTCTTAAATTAAAAAAAATGTCCCAGGGGCTTCCCTGGTGGCTCAGTGGTAAAGAATCCACCTGCCAATGCAGGAAGACACAGATTCAATCCCTGATGCAGGAAGATTCCACAAGCTGGGGAGCAACTGAGCCTACAAGCCACAACTATTGAGCCTGTGCTCTAGAGCCCAAAGCGCAACTACTGACCAACATGCTGCAACAGCTGAAGCCCACACGCCCTAGAGCCTGTGCTCCAAAGAAAAGGCACCACAATGAGAAGTCCACACGCCACAACTGAACAGTAGCCCCTGCTCACCGCAACTAGAGAAAAAAGCCCTTGCAGTAACAAAGACACAGCACGGCCATAAAAATAAAATTATTTTTTTTAATGTTCTAAGTTTATTTTTTAATTTTACTTTGTTGACTACATATAAAATAGAAAAGGTAGAAAACAGCATTGCAGAGAAAAGTCCCTTCCTTTCCCCTCCAGCCTCTAGAACACCAGTCCCACTCCCACCTCTGAGAGGTGATTGTTACCATTTTTAAACACATCTAGAGGTATTTTGGGGCTTCCCAGGTGGCCCTAGTCATAAAGAACCCATCTGAAATGCAGAAGATGTGGGTTTAATCCCTGGGTCAGGAAGATCCCCTGGAGGAGGGCATGGCAACCCACTCCAGTATTCTTGCCTGGAGAATCCCACTGACAGAGGAGCCTGGCAGGCTACAGTCCATAAGGTTGCCAAGAGTCAGACATGACTAAAGTGACTTAGCACACACACAGAGGTATTTTATTATCCATATTTATGCAGGTATGCATACATATGTATGTATAACCACATATAAATACACACCATATGACAGACCACTATGTATGCTATGATGATTGAAGATCATTTCCTCTTGTTTTTCTTAGCCATGAAAACCACAGCATCCTCTCTTCCTCCCTCCTCCAGATTCCTTCTCATAACCCATGGGTTCTGCATGTAAATACTTCTCAACTAACAAGTCCTGGGTCCCTTGAATTCATGTGGATTTCTTTCTTAACAATTTGAGATAATAAGATATTCGTTACCTTATTAGCCACAATTGACAAAGTCTTGAAAATACTGTTCAGTTGACTATTGATTTCCAGTATAGATGCCACGGTGGGGGATAAAACTGTTCCCAGTGAACTGAGGAGGTCAGTCTTAAGTACATTCTGGTTTTAAAAATAAATACACAACTCTTTAAAAAGGATATTTTCACGTCCATAAATCTGGCTAGTTAAATGATAATATCTTAAATACCCTGTTAACTAAACACGTGTATATTAAAATCCTAAGTGTCCATTCTCTTTTTTATAGCCTACAGAGTCTATTACTAGAGTTTATATTCATCATAAATCACTTAATCCTGCATATAGGAATTAAGAAATGGTCACTTTATGTACAATAAATTCTTAACAGTCTACTGTAACATAAGTCAGAAGAATTCAGAAGAGGGGAAAATGACAGTCATCTGATAAAATTTTTGCAATGCAAACAAAGAAAGAAAAACCTACAATAATATTTCAAAGAAATAAATTTCAAACAACTTTAGGTTACTAAGTCAAAAGGGCTGAAACCAAATAGCCTTGAAAAGTAGGCTTTGGGTTGGAGGCATTTAAGTTTGAAGAACTGGTGACTTACATTCTATTGGATAAGAGCACATCATGGTTCTGGTTCTTGTTAAGGTATGTAGAAAATTTAGAAAGTATCATAGATTGGAAATTTTTATAAAAAGAAGAAAAAAATTCTGAACTTAGCTCCTATTACTAGGGCAAGGATGAAGAACTATAACAAAATAATTAGTAAATGCTTAAAAGCGTACTGGTTTTCTTTTGAAAGAAGAGCTATCATACTAATTTCAACTCATTCTGTGGGAACAGCAATCACCTCTTCAGACTCAAGCTTGCTTATGACTTGGTAGGAAGACATCAGTAAACAGAGACTACCATTTATTTAGTGAGTGAATCAATTTTCATATAGCAGAAGCTAACAGAACATTGTAAAACAATTTTGCTCCAATTTAAAAAAAATTCCCAAAAGTAAGTATCAGTGAGCATCTTTTAACTTTGTCAAATTTGGATGACTAAAGAAATCTACCTAATAATGTCATGCAAGCACTGAATTTAGGCAGAATGTTGGCTAACATGAGCAGTATTTACTTGGAAAATGTTCAACAAATATTGTTAAACTCAAAAAGGGAGGCAGAGAGCCTATACAGAGGGAAAAACCAAAGTAAGTTATATGGCCAAGAACTTCCTAGACAAATGATACAATTACAAAATAAAGGCTATAAAGAAATCAAGTGTGGAGAAGGTAAACAATATTGTGTAATTAGATGACTAGCTTCTACAGAATTATGGAAAAAAGCCTCACAGTTACAGGCCAGAAGGACTTGATTACATATATTGGACCCCACAAATTGTTATATATGCGCCCAAATTCTATAAATCATTTTTCTTACACGTTTTTCTGTATTTCTGTAGTTTTAAAATTAACTACTTAATATACCCTTCAGGTTGGGTCAGTGTAACATTAGCATGACTATTCTAGGACCCTTAAGAAAAGGATAACCAACCAGTTTCTGAGGCAGCTAACAAGTCATAGGTCCCTTGAATTCATGTGGAGCTAAACCTACAATTCTTTCTAGTTATTAAAAGGTATACGAACTCCTACACTCTATGTTAACAGAACAGAAGTGAAAAAAGTTTCGAAGGTTAAATATATGCTATTGGAAATTAATCTTTCTGGGAGAAAAAAACAGTGAAGGGACCTGCCTTTAAAAATATAAACCTACTCTATTAAAGTAATCTGTTTACCACTGTGTTTAGTAAAGTTTAAGGTGAAAGAAGAGCAGTTAACATTGTTTTCTGAGACTTATCAAATATAATAAAAGATTTACTAACAATCAATTCCTGCAGTACAGTTTTACTTTCTGCTGCTAATGATTCTTCTTTCAATATCATATTAGACATCTGAGAAACAAGTGTAGACACATTTTCTGGAATCAATGTGAGAGATCCAAGTGCTATTGTAGTAATAGTGTCTAATGCAGAGACACTGGAAGTCAGCAGGTTACCTACACCAAAAGAAAAAAAAATGTCAACTTGAATATAAATATATTTGAACACAAATACAATCTTGGCAAAATTTATATCCCTGTTGTGGAAATTGGTAACAAATAACCTTAAAAAAATTGACTCACTACATAAGCATGGAATTATTTTAAATATAAATTATGCTATGGTTGTGATAAAAAAAAATTTAAAAAAAAATAAATTAATTAATTAATTAAAAAAAATAAAATGCAAGTTAAACAGCAAAAAAAAAAATAAATAAAATAAATATAAATTATGTTCTACAGTATTCAGGAAGCACTTGGCACATCTGTAAGTGTATCAGATCCAAAACTGTAAGTAAGAGTCAGAATAACCTAAAAATTAATCTCTAACTAAAAGTAATACACAGCATTACTGTAGATAAAAAAGTTTAAAGAAGAGAAACTAGAAATCAATAAATAAATTTTTTAGTGGTTAGCTTAGAGTGACTAGACTCCTAAGTGACTTTTTAAATTTTTCATGTCTGCATCTGCCAGATTTTCTATAGTGAAAATAATACTTTATTATCAGTTTTGAAATTAGTCTCACTAAACACGGTTTAAGACTGGAATAAGAAATGCTTGAATAAAGATGGTACTGATGAAATTATTTGCAGGGAAGCAAAGGAGACACAGATGTAGAGAACAGACTTACGGACATGGGCAGGGGGAGGAAGGAGAGGGTGAGATGTATGGAAAGCAACATGGAAACATATTACCATATGTAAAAATAGATGGCCAATGGGAATTTGCTATATGACTCAGGGAACTCAAACAGGGGCTCTGCAACAACCTAGAGGGGTGGAATGGGGAGGGAGATGGGAGGGAATTTTAAGAGGAAGAGGACATATGTTAAACCTATGGCTCATTCATGTTGATGTTTGGCAGAAACCAACAAAATTCTATAAAGCAACTATCTTTCAATTAAAAAAAGAGAGAAATGTTTGTACTTACCAAACAAGGTCTTGTGAACTTCTAGCATGGCCTTTTGTTTCGTGCTGCCATCCTTAATTAATTCTTCCATATTATTAAACAGACTATTCAAATTTTTGCCAAAAACATCTTGAGCTTCTGCATTATGCTGATCAACTGCCTTCTTACGATCCAGTTTAGAATGGAGACCAAATACATCTTTTGTAGCTTCTTCAACTGTGTTAAGCAACTATATATGATTTTTAAAAATAAGTGTTGATAAGATGGATATGACAAAAGTAATATAATGAAAATATCTATGCTTCATTAAAGACTTCTAAAAAGAACCAGTAAATTTTTTTTTTTAAAGAACCAGTAAATTTTATATATAGTTTTAGAAGAAATTCTTAAGTTCATGCCAATGTTTATTTCTCCTCTCCTAGCCATCTAGACAAGGAAAACTGAGTTTGCCAATCAATTTTAATAATTATGCTCCCTCACAAATCTTCCCCAATATGTGTTACTAAGGCAGGAGACCCTGGTTCAATTCCTGGGTCAGAAAGATCCGCTGGAGAAGGGATAGGTTACCCACTCCAGTATTATTGGGCTTCCCTTGTGGCTCAGTTGGTAAAGAATCTGCCTCCCATGTGGGAGACCTGAGTTCGATCCCTGGGTTGGGAAGATCCCCTGGAGAAGGAAAAGGCTACCCACTCCAGTATTCTGGCCTGGAGAATTCCATGGACTGTACAGTCCATGGGGTAGCAAAGAGTCAGACACGATCTAGTGACTTTGACTTTCATGTGTTACTAATTTCCAAAGGATACACCTAATAAAAAGTAAGTATTTTCAACATCATCCATCATTAGAAGGTACTAAATTCTTGATGACTAATTAGCCTCAACCATGACCACAGGTAAAGCAGTACGACACTATTATTCTAAACATCCACAAAGTATATTAAAATCAGGTTTTATTTTCAAAACTTTAAGAATAGACTTTTCTTAAATAAGCATATCCAGTGAAGAAAATCTAGACGAAATAGTAAAATAATGTTTCTTAAATGGACAGAAGTATCATTTGGAGTGAATAAATAGAATTTCACAATTTCTTAGCTTATGCTAAGAAAGTTACTTCTACCCATTCTTTAACTTCTTTAACACGACTACAAATAAAAACAAAAGACAAACCCTGCTGGCAGCATCATGAAGTCTCTCCTCAGTACTTTCCAAAGCCGAGGTGATATATTCTTCTTCAACAAGCTGTAATTTAGTTTCCTGCAAATGTCTTTGAGTGGTTTCAAGTTCCTGTGTCTTACTTTGCAGGTCAGATTTGCACTGGTTAAGTTCATTTTTACTATCCATAAACAATTCTGTAACCTACATATAACACATGAAACATTTTTGTTTTAGAATTTAAAAATGCTGAACTGGTCATTGACACACCTGGCTAGCTCATAATACTAAAAGAACCAAACAATTTCCACATAAAAGTTGTAACAAGTTACCAGGTAGGTTAGAACATTTCAGATGGTAACTGGTTTCTTCCTATAACTACTACTACTACTGGTGGCCCAGTATTTATGACTTTGCATGTCCAGTGCTATGGGCACAGGTTTGATCCCTGGTCAGGGAATTAAGATTCCACAAATCACGGGGCACAGCCAACCAGATAAAAACAAGTAACAGGTCTAATGAAATGATGTCAAGTCTTCAGATTCCTTTCAACACTGCCAGTGTGAGGGTGGCACTGAAGGGTCAGGTCTTTCAACCTTAGCTATTTAACATCTGGTTTCTCCCAACATCTGCCTTTTGTCATCTGATAAACATGTTGATGAAAATGTCTCAGAATTTACTATACAGCTTTAATATTAAATTATACAATTCAGCTAATTTCTTAAAATGCTGCATTAGTATGTGTCAAATAGAATAACTCCTTCAAAAAAGACTCACTTCTTCATTATCATTAATGATAATTAAAAAAAAAAGTGTGACACAACTTTATTTTAGTTTAGAGGTCAGCAAGAAAAAAAATCTTAAAAAACATCAGGTCCCTCACATTCTGAAATTGCCTTTTAATATTTGCTTTTTACATGATAGTCAACACAGTTTTGAATGCTTACCCTATTTAGCTCTTCCTCAACAGCAGCAATTTTTTCAACCAGTTCTACAATTTGCTCCTCTTGAACAGTTAGTTTTCCACTCATAGCTCTAAAATAAAATTTAAAAGGATTTTAACAGTGAATATTGTTTCCTAATGCCTATAAAATTTACTCTAACACAACTGAGGCAGTTATATATCATCTCTACTATTTATCACTATCATGATAATGATGCCTAAGTATCAATAAGCAATAGATACAAAGTGCAAAAAACAAGTGTATTCTTTGTCTTAGGTTTATAAACAGACTGTTTTTCTTGTTTTTTCCATTTTGAAACTGAGAATCCCTACCGATTACAGGGGAAAAAAACATGTATGTATATAAAATTTGAGAAGCTACAAAGGTGGCAGAGGACTATAACCCACATAAAGCAGAGATAGGGGATACAACTAGGTGTCTATAATCAGGAATATGAAGAATAATAAACAGGCAGAATCCTGAAGAGGCTTGTGGTATGAAAGCATCAGGTGTCACAGGAGGAAGGGGTAAGATAAGGGGCTAGCCCCTGGAAAACTGAAGTAGGTATACAGAGCAGTTAAACCTCCTGCCCCTAGCACACAGACCCCAAGACACACCCCAACACACATACCACTATCACACCACCACAAAAGTCCTCATGAGATAAACGATTCTTCTCTAGCGCAGTTTCGCAGCTTTAGCACTACTAACACTTTGCACCAGATAATTCTGGTCTGCTTTAATGAGTCTCTCTGATTTCTTGAGATTAGCAAGTGTCAGAAGTGAGTGCTGTCATTTACATTCTTCTAGTTCCTTCATAACTACCAACCATTTTCTATTCCACATTGTGCTTAAATGACAAAGAATTTTAAGAATGTAGATTTCCTCAAACTATTTGCTAGAGATATTGATTAAAGGAAAAGATAAAGTTGAGGCGGTATAAGAAGAGAGTTCATTCTAACAGTCTTTTGATAACTGTATCAGTTTTTAATTGGAAATAGCTCTTCAAAGTAGATGAGATATTTGAAATGCATTCCTATATTAAATGTATAAGAGGGATGTAACATTGTTATTAAATGAATGATACAGTTTAGGTAAATAGTTTTTAATTGAAGTATAAGTGACTTACAATATTACATTAGTTTTGGGTGTACAACATAGTGATTTGATACTCTTATACATTACAAAATGATCACCACCGTAAGTCTAGTTATCAACTGTCACCACACAAAGATAGTACAATACTACTGACTACACTTCCTATGCTGTACATTCTTAGAAATTAATTTCCATAACCAAGGGCTTACCTAAAATTTTCTTCAGAAATGTACACTCCATTTTTTTCACGAGCTGCAGCAAGATCCCGTTTCAGACGTTCTATCTCTTCTGTATATTCCTATGCAAGAAGAATGTTGTGTCAGTTTAGCACTTCACCTTTTTTTCATTCAGTTTAGGGAAGATTTATAATAAATAAAACAAAGTTAGCCCTCTTATCTTTTTTAAAGCATAAAAATGTGTGATTAAAAAGTTACAACCTTACTTTTCATTCAATATTAATATGGTTAAAATAAAATCAATAGCTTTCATTCATTATAAAAATACAGGCTTCTGAAGAAAAAAACCCCCGGTAGCCAGGTTGGTCTCCAAATCTCATCGCACGCGAAAAGGAACCAGGGTTTCTTAGGGAAGTGTCTGACTCCAGGATTGGGGCAAGAAACATTCAAGATGAACCTGGAACATCTTGTAAAACAAAGTAGGAAGGAAGCAAAGGAAGCTTAGGCCAACAAAAAAGACTCAAGAACCCACTGAAAATGTACCCAATGGCCAGAGAAGGAACAATTTGAACATCAGTGAGGTTATTAACTACAATTGTTAGCACAAATATTCTAAATCCATGAGTCAAGAAAGCTGGGAAACCAACCCATTGTTCTCAAAACTGTCAACGGAAATGAATCAAGCATTTGTCCTGTCTTTCGTGTAAGAACTACAACCTTGGGGAGCTGAGGGAATGTTCCTCTTTACAGAGTTAGTCCAGCAGTCAACTAAAGAAGAACAATTCGAAAATAATTATTTTGCAACCCTTAAAGAACTAGTGGATCAGGTCATTTGAATATAATCAACCGTGAACTTCCAGATGTTCAAGCTGGTTTTAGAAAAGGCAGAGGAACCAGAGATCAAATTGCCAACATCCGCTGGATCATCGAAAAAGCAAGAGAGTTCCAGAAAAACATCTATTTCTGCTTTATTGACTATGCCAAAAGCCTTTGACTGTGTGGATAACAATAAACTGGAAAATTCTGAAAGAGATGGGAATACCAGACCACCTGACCTGCCTCTTGAGAAACCTGTATACAGGTCAGGAAGCAACAGTTAGAACTGGACATGGAACAACAGACTGGTTCCAAATAGGAAAAGGAGTACGTCAAGGCTGTATATTGTCACCCTGCTTATTTAACTTATATGCAGAGTATATCATGAGAAATATATGATTATATATATATATATATAAATATATATATTTAACTTATATGCAGAGTATATCCACGCTGGGCTGGAAGAAGCACAAGCTGGAATCAAGACTGCCGGGAGAAATATCAATAACCTCAGATATGCAGATGACCCCACCCTGATGGCAGAAAGTGAAGAACTAAAGAGCCTCTTGATGAAAGTCAAAGAGAAGAGTGAAAAAGTTGGCTTAAAGCTCAACATTCAGAAAACTAAGATCATGGCATCTGGTCTCATCACCTCATGGCAAATAGATGGGGAAACAGTGGAAACAGTGACAGACTTTATTTTTCTGGGCTCCAAAATCACTGCAGATGGTGACTGCATCCATAAAATTAAAAGATGCTTACTCCTTGGAAGGAAAGTTATGACCAACCTAGACAGCATATTAAAAAGCAGAGACATTACTTTGCCAACAAAGGTCCATCTAGTCAAGGCTATGGTTTTTCCAATAGTTATGTATGGATACGAGAGTTGGACTATAAAGAAAGCTGATGCTTTTGAACTGTGGTGTTGGAGAAGACTCTTGAGTCCCTTGGACTGCAAGGAGATCCAACCAGTCCATCCTAAAGGAGATCAGGCCTGGGTGTTCATTGGAGGAACTGATGGTTGAAGCTGAAACTCCAATTCTTTGGCCACTGATTCGGAGAGCTGATTCATTTGAAAAGACCCTGATGATGGGAAAGATTGAGGGCAGGAGGAGAAGGGACAACAGAGGATGAGATGGTTGGATGGCATCACCGACACAATGGACATGGGTTTGGGTAGACTCCGGAGTTGGTGATGGACAGGAGGTCTGGAGCGCTGCAGTTCATGGGGTTGCAAAGAGTCGGATACAACTGAGCAGCTGAACTGAACTGAATCCCTTACCAAAAAAAGGGAAAGAACCAGATATTATGTGCTTCCAAGTGGGATAATATACCACCACTTATGAAATATTTTGGCCAAAAATATATAAATAAGATAAAACCTGACTCTATCAAGCCTCAAAATCCAACTACTAATTTATGGCAAACCTTATTTGGATCCTAAAAGTAAATATTGAAACAATTGGAATTTTAAACAATGACTGAATATTTTATCATAATAAATGACTGCTAAATATTTTTAGATCTAATAATAGCAGTAGAGTTCAAAAATTCAAGTGTCTAAAATAAAATGAATGCTTATAAAAGAGCATGGCCTTTAAAAATTAATGAATACAAAAATCACTGTAGTTTTTCTCAGATCCTGACAATTTTGACACCCTTTATCAAGAGAGGTTTGCTCATATAAGCTTCCTTTTAAACAGTCTGACTCCAAGAGTTATTATAAAGCTACAGTAATTAAAACTGTGGTATTAGTGAGGGACAGATATAAATCAATGCAACAGAATAGAAAGCCCAGCCATTTTGGAAAACAACTTGGCAGTTCCTTAAAAAAAAAAAAAGAAAACTTACTTTCAATTACCATATAACACAACAATTATACTCTTTGGCAACTGTCTTAGAAAAATGAATATTTACATGTACACAAATTACTATAAACAAATATGATCAAAGCAGTTTTATTTTCAATTGTGAAAAACTGAAATCAGCCCATATGTCTTTCACAGGTGAAGCTGACAACAAACTGTGTGGTACATACACGTGCCGTGCTGTGCTGTGCCGCTCAGCTGCATCTGACTCTTCGCTACCCCATGGACCGCAGCTCACCAGGCTCCTCTGTCCTTGGGGATTCTCCAGGCAAGAACACTGGAGTAGGTTGCCATGCCCTCCTACAGGGCATCTTCCCAACGCAGGTATCGAACCCAGGTCTCCCGCATTTCAGGTGAACTCTTTAGTCTGAGCCACCAGGCAAGCCCAAGAATACTGGAGTAGGTAGCCTATCCCTTCTCCAGGGGGTGTTCCTGACCCAGGAATTGAACTGGGGTCTCTTGCATTGCAGGCAGGTGGTATATACATACCATGGAATATTCCTCAGCATTAAAAAGTAAAGATCTATTTGATATGCACCACTCAGGTTAACCTCCAGGAATTATGCTGAGTGATAAAAGCAATCCCCAAGGTTTATATACCGTATGATTCCATTCAATAACACTCTTAAAATGACAAAGGTTTAGAAATAGAGGACAGATCATTGGATAGCAAAGATTAGGGATGGGAGGTCAGAGTGGGAAGGAAGTGATTATAAAAGGGCAAGGAGGAATCCTTGCTGTGATGGGACTGTTCAGTATCTTGACTGTGGTAGTGGCTCCATGAACCTACACATGACAAAATTGCATAGAACTAACTAAACACACACACATGAGTACCAGGAAAATTGAGGAATAAGACCAATGAATTGCTATTAACAGTGTCCCTACAGTGATTTTACTATATAGTTTAATGTACAAAAGATCTCTCTGTATTACTTCTTTCAATTGTATGTGAATCTATAGTTGTCTCAATAGAAACAACAACAAAAAACTCTACCAATAAAAGGAAAAGACAAGCCAGACTGGGAGGAAATATTTATAAATTATTTCATAAAGGATCATATCTAGAAAATATGAACAACCCTTTACAACTTTATAAAAAGACACCCCAATTAAAAACTGGCAAAGGAGTTAAATAGACATTTCACAAATGAAGATATACATGTGGATAATAAGCATGTGAAAAGATGCTGAATATCACTATTCATTAAGGAAATGCTAATTAAAACTGCACTGAAGTACCATTATACGCTTAAATTTTACTGACTGGATAGAGCTTGTAAGATCATCTATTAGTATTAGAAAAAGCATTTTAACACACAGGGTATTTAGTTCAAACCATTAAATGAAAAGCCTTATCAAAGGCAATTTAATAAATTTTTAAAAACAATGATCTATTTCAGTTCCTCATTTTCACATTTGCCAAACAAATTTATATTATTCCACAAAAACTCACAATTACCTTAATCAGAGCTTTCTTGGTGAGTTTCTGGTTAACCTCGGGCTTATTGAGTATGTTCTTTGCTCTATGAGCATATTCCAATGTACTCAGAGTTTCCTGTGATGAAAAGAAAAGGCCAATTACTAAAGATATGAGAATAATGTAGTTCTGTTACCTAAAATGTACTATACAATAACATAATAATTTTTGGTTATATCTAATATAAACATTTACCCACTAATACTACTATACCCAACCTTTAAAAACGAGGAATGCTCTTAAAGCACTATAGTCCAATTAAGTAAATAAATAAGACAGAAGACTGTTTAAAACATCCTTATTTTTTACTCTTCAAGTTTCAGTCTTTAATTTAATCTAATAATTTTTTGCTTTAGTCTTAAGCTCTATTAAAAAAAAAAACCTCAATGAATTTCATCAACTGATGAATAAACAAAATGTCCTATATCCATATCATTCACCCACAAAAAGGAACGAGTTCTGATACCTGCTGCAAAGTGGATGAACATTGAAAACATGGTAAGTGAAAGAAGCCAGTCACAAAAGAACACTTATTGTGTGATTCCATTTATATAAAATATTCAGAATAGGCAAAGGTATAAATTAAAGAAAGTAGATTAATAGTGACCTAGGGCTGGAAATGGAAACTGATGGGGAGTGACTGCTAATAGGTTACAGAGTTTCTTTCTAGGATAAAAATGTTTAGATTTTGGTGACAGTTTCACAGCTCCATGAATATAGTAAAATCACCTAATTATATACTTTCAGTGGATGAATTTTATGGTATACAAATTATTTCTCAACAAAAATAGTTTTTAAAAGGAAAGAGGAGTTAAGAGACTTTATAAAAGCTTTTCTAATTCCATTTAAAGATAATCCAGTAAAATTAAAGTAGACTTTACCATCTTTGTTGTTTCTCTTGGTTTTCCCACCTGTACCCCCACATCCAGCCTCATCTTTAGTGATCTCTAAGCAGCCTCTAAAGCACTAATATTCACTTAACCCACTTCTAAGGCCTCAATTAAACCATCCACTGCTAATGATCACAGCAACTACCTTTGAAGACTGGAAAAATACAACTAAGTAACTAGTTTTTTTTTTTTAAGTAACTAGTTTTTTAAGATTGAAAACTACCAGGAAGGAGAAAAACAATTTTTCAGTGGTGTTCTCCTCTGTGTGTCCATCACATACAATGTCCAGATTATTTTTACTGTAGTATAGAATGAATGAAGCCAATTAGTGAACGCTAAAAATATTATACATGATAGTTACAGAATTCTCTAGCAGTCTAGTGTTTAGGACTCCAAATTTTCACTGCTGAGAGCCCAGGTTCAATCCCTTGTTGAAAACTAAGATCCCACAAGCCACGCAGCACACCCAAAAAATGTGATAGTTAAGACCTTACCTCCAGATTGAGAGATGCAGGAGAAACTGTTGCAATGATAGATGTTCTTGTACGTCCCCCAAGAGAGTCCTGGAGGATTCTAGTCAGTTTAGATTCTCGATAAGGGACATGAGGTGTTCTTTCTACAAGAGCAGTAATAACCCTTCCCAGAGTCAACAGGGACTGATTGATATTTCCAGCTTCCCGAGCTCTCTTGTCAACTGCTCCAGAACGGCCAATGTTCTCACTGCCTGCAAGATCAACCTTGAATTTTAAAAATAAAAATAAGTCCTCAGTCTATGGATTTGGAATAGAAGACTTTCATTCTCATATTGTACAAAAAGATATTAAATAGCCAGTAAAATAATTTTCTATAAACAACCCACTACAAAACCAATAACCCAGTGACTACAAAAGTACTGTCACTAAATACACAATTTTCAAACTTCTCTATGAGATGATAAAGAAGAAACAGTGGAATAGAACTACCATTTGACCTAGCAATTCCACCTCTGGGTATGTATGCAAAGAAAATGAAATCACACACACAAAAAAAGAAAATGAAATCCCTCTCTCAAAGAAATATCTGCACTCCCATGTTGACTGCACTGTTAATGATAAACAAGGTATGGGAACAGCCTAAGTACCCACTGATGAATGAATAAAGATGTGACATGATGTGCATGCACACGCACACACTCGAATATTATTCAGCCATGAGAAAGAATATCCTGCTACACTATACATTTTAAATACATAATGTTATTTGTCAATTATACATCAATAAAACTACACACACAAAAAAGTGAAAGAATGAACAGTGGCGTTACAGTTGATGCTTACCAAGTTCAACTTTCCAATTTTAACAAGCTCCTCTCCATCAATTGTAGTTTCTTTCATATGTATTGTAACAGAGAAAACTGAGTGGGATCGACTAGAAAACAAGACCAAGTTGCCCAATCATAATAGTGCAAAACATTGTTTTCTTTCTGTAACATAATGAAAACTGCAAAGAAAGATCTAAATCCACCAAGGTAGAGAAAGATAGTATGAGACAGGATATCAGTAAGATTTTAGAAGACAGTGGATAGATAAAATGATGCTAGGTTTCGGCTTTCTTGCTCCTGCTGCCTGCACAGAAGAACCCAGTAATAAGCTAGCTGAAAACAGCTTAGATGACTTAGGATCCTCAGGCACCTCTGAAAGCTGGATGTGGAATGGTGTTTGAACAGCTGCCTGGTGTGTCAGAAGAGCTGGCCTGCAACTGATCTATTTATAAGAACCACTTGAAATACATCATTACCTTAAACTCAAACAGCATCAGGCAAGCCACCAGACCACTCTCCCTCAGTGTCAACTGTCCTAAAAGTACATTGCTCTGCCTTGAGAAGGTCACCAGAGACAGGTAGGTCCTTCCTCTGAACAGCACAAATAGTAAACTGCAGTGTTCACTGAAACACCACAAGTAATAACTGCTAGACTGCAAGGTTTTCCAAAGTCCTTCTTATGCTTTATACTGACACTCAACTTTTATCTTAGTGATACAAAAAAAACAATACAGACAACCAAAGACAGCATTCCTTTCTGTATCAGTATCTGATGAAGAATATTCTGTTTGTTAATGTCATTGATGGTTGGAATATGGTAATTTCTAATTTTCTCATTTGTACTTTTCATGTGACTTGGAAAATTTTATAAGTATCATTTTTACAAAATTATTTAAGTCATTTTAAATAACAGAAAAGGGGAGGGACACAGGGAAAAATATAAACTATAGATTTGAATTATAAAATGTATCTCATGTTTTCCCACCATTATTTGCCCATTCCTAATTTAAGATAATAGAATTAATACTATTAAGCGTAAAAGTAAACTCTGATTTTGGAAAACTAAATCACATTTCTTTTATCACATACATTGATAAGAAGATATCTTCAGTCCAGTCTTCAGTGAAAATTAGGAAATTTTAAATTATTTAAATTTACAGAACAATGGGAATTTTATATTTCAGAGAAGAGTATTTAGAGAAAGAAATTTTCTTAAATTCATTCCTCTGAAGCCTAAATCAAAAGTTATAAAGCAAACATTTAATTCAAATGGAAACTTCATTCTGTGATTTGTTTATAACTCCATTTTTAATGAAAGCTATTATAGGAAATTTAATTTATATTATAAAATCACCCCTAATTCCATGATACTGATTACTTTCATGTTATGCTATTTTTCTTCTTTCTTTAAATACACACATATTTATATAGAGTACAATTATAATTGCTATAGCATATTGCAGAAATGTCCGACTATAAGAGAGCAAGACCTTAAAGTCATTCTGCAGTTCAGGGAAAATGATATTCAGGTAAGTTTAACTACGTGAAATAACATATTTAGTTAACTGTAGAACTGAAACTAAGCACAAATATCTAACTCCTAATCTACAGCTCTTTCAATTACATTCTGATATTTCCTTCAAAGACGAGCAAAAAAGAAGTCACCTCTGATTTAGTAAAGTGCATTTATAGAATCTGGGATTCATCTTATAAGGGATACTATCAAATATGCGTCTTTTTCCCCTCGAAAGCCTGTATTAGTAATCATGTATCTTCCTACATTAAAATGAAGCCATTTGCAAAGAAAACTCATGTTGTACAACCTAAATATATAAAATTTGTCATTTATACCTCAATTAAGCTGGGGAAAAAAAAAAACAGGCCATTTGGTTTTCTTCTAATCTTTATTCAAATAAGGGATTTTCAAACTGTATTCTAAGTATCCTTAGGGGCTCCAGAAAAGTACTCAGGGCTAATCTCCTGAAGGCTGAGGAGGCAAGCCCCTGAGTATCCCACTGCCAAATCAACTACCCCAGCCACATTTTAATCAGGGCTCCCATGTATAATTTCATTTGGGAAAAGAAATCTTCTACTTAAAAACCTTAATAATCCTGCTCAAGTTCAACTTGTCTTTGTCCTCCTTTCAACATTCTGCCAATATTGGTGCTCTCCTTATAAACCTCAAGCCAACTACTAAGACAAGCAATCCAGCACACAATCTAGATGTGTGACTCACATACCTTGACACACCCCAATTTGATTTCCCAAGTTTGGATATTCTTCTTGAAAACAAAATGGAGAGGTGGGGGAAACAAGAGCTTTCTCACCTAGAGTAGGCGTTCATCAAAGTTGCTGCGGTTGTCCTTTTTGCTGCCCCCTTCTCCAAAATCTGATAGACTTCATCCTTGTTATGTACTGTAATTTCTTCTAAACCTTTGATTATCACTCCCCTCTGACCAAATATCAGAAGAGCATCCATTAAATTGGTTAAAAAGAAAAATATATAAATATTTCTCAAAATATCACACGTTAACATTTGGAGACATTTCATTGTCAAAGACTCAAGTTACCTTGTTACGGGGATCATCAAACATCTGCAGTCTCTCAGAAACATCAGAAGACGGATTAAGGAGATCAAAGAGCTCTTCATTATAGATTTCCAATAGCGACACTTTCACTGAAAATTCAGTACCATTATCACTAAGTTTCTCAAAAATTTGATGAAGAGTACGTGGAATTATACCAGCCAAAGGATCCTGAAATGATAATATTAATAAAGACTTAAAGGATACCATTTACTGCAATAGTTAAAACACATATATAACAAGGGCCTCTTTTATAGTATATTTAAACATAAATATGTCAAAACAGGTTTAAAAAAAAATTTAAAAACTAACCTAATGTTAGAGAAGCCAAATCATTTACAAGCAATTTACAACAATCTGTTCAATAGCAATTATTCTTCCTTACACCTTCCACAAATCTGTCATTCCAATCAGCTACTTCATGCCTGAGCATTATACAGAAACCAACTGAATCAAGTTCCTTATAAAGCCAAGTTCAATAATCCTCTCCAACTTTTCTCATGAGAACATAGTACCATTCTTTTAATCACAAAAGTGGCTCATCTAACAGTATATTCCCTAATTCCGACATAAAACAAAGTTGTTTCTCAAATGTCTAAATATCCTTAATTAAAATTATGACTAAATTTTGTGCTTTAAGCCTATTCCATATTTTCTATGATTACAATTCCATAACACTATTACCCATGCATAAAGTAAGTTAATGCCCCAACCACTAGAAGAAAGGATCTACTTAACTGTTGATAATTTGGAAAATATTAGTCATTAAACTCATTCAATTTTAGACACATTTCTTTGTGAAATGTACTATGTGCTTCCTATAATCTTCAGCAATACAGTGATCTTAATTTCACACTCAAAGTCATCATTAATAAAGTACCATATTGCTCCCATGGTTGTGCTAACTTTACAAGATTCACTCCCTCACTGCAGAGCCTTCCTCTTCAAGTCCTATTCACATTCCACTTTCCCACAATAGTCTCCTCCAATTTTCTGTCCCAAAGGGACCCTTCTCTCATCACATAACTATACCATATGTATTGCTCCTCTCTCTCCCAGTAAGACTTTGTTTCTTAAACAGAAGCCATTACATATACTTTAATATCATTACACTAGTAGTTTATCCTAAATTCGTGTTTGTCATGGTACTCTGATCTATTTCAGACAGAGGCATCCAACCAAGTTTTATTCAGCTGCACTTGAGCCACTTTAGAGACAGAAGTCTGATATAAACAATAAATACCTCCTCCCAAGTATACTCTTCATTAGGGGACCTTTCACCTTCCATTGTAAAGGTTTTTCCAGTGCCAGTTTGGCCATATCTGTCAAAATTAACAGAAATGTTAAACAAAAAAACTGATTACATGCATCTAAAACTTTTCATCAATTTGAAAAGTATTTCACTCACGCAAAAATAGTGCAATTATAGCCCATAATAACTTCATCCAGAATTGGACAAACAACACTTCGGTAAACGTCAATTTGTTTAGTATTTGCTCCAAAAACCTAGCCAAAAAACAAAAAAGGCATTTCTTAAAAACAAAAACACACTTCAAAATTACCTTAATAATTGTTTTTAACACATTAACTTATCCAGCCCACTAAAAACCATTTGACAACTCAAAGGATCGACTGAAATTTCTAACTACACCAGAACCTACAGAAAATATACATACTAGGATAATTTTACATTGGTGGATAAGAAGTAGCAGCACTTTAGGAAGTAAGTACCATGTCAAAAGTGTATGTTTTCCTTGAGCTTTTGTCCGCCAGTCCTCCAGTTCGAACACTAACTTCCTTCCGCACATGATCACATTCTACTACCGAATGGGCATTAGCCTTCCGCTCTGCCAAATTAAATGGTCTGTAAAATGAAACACACAAGGTTATTCAAGAACTCTTTTTTTTTTTAACTTTTTATTTTGTATTGGGGTATATATAACCAATTAAAACTGTTGTTATAGCTTCAGGTGAACAGCTAAGGGACTCAGCCATACATATAAAAGTATCCATTCTCCACCAAACTCCTCTCTATCCAGGCTGCCACTTAACATTAAGCAGAGTTCCATGTTCTTGTGGTTACCATTTTAAATATAGCAGAGTGTCCATGTCAATCCCCAACTCCCTAACTATCCCTTCTCCCCAGCAACCATAAGTTCCTTCTCTAAGTCTGTGAGTCTGTTTCGTAAGTAAATTCACTTAAGAATTAAGAACTCTTAGTTATCAGGTTACTGATGACATTTTTGTTACTATCTCAGACAAGAACAATGGGAAGTTTTAACCACACTGTTGGTGACAGAGATTAAACGGGGCCTAAATGACACTGCTAAAGCAAACAGCAGAATTTTAAGTGTTTCAATTGCTAGAAATAAAATTAGTTTAAAAAGTTTTGAAAGATATGTACAATTCTGACAGTTTCTTGGAGTAGATGCTAAAAGAATTAATTTGCAAAAAAGGTGAAACTTATTTTTCAGAATTCTATTTCCACTTTTCCTAGAATCCGGCCAAGTTAGGTTATGATGTATTAGAAAGAACATGCCAAATTTGCATCCAAAATATTAACCTGCCAAAGGGTAACTGGCACAAAATAAAAAATACATTAATTTAGACTAACACATAGAGCGCTTACTACGTGCCAGGTACTCACTGTTCCAAGTGTTTCACATGTGTTAATTCAGTTTGTCCTCAAGACACTGAGGTCTAGTGGGGAACATAAAACAAGTGATTATAAGAGAGATGATGTTTAGTAAGGGAAAGTAAAAGGTGCTGTAGGAACATAGCAGAAACTTAATGGGGGCTTGATTAGGGCAGAGCAGGATAGAGGTTGCATGATGGGAAAGATTCCATGTGAAGTAAAATAAGATAAAAGTCTCCTTAGGCATTTCAGTAGAATGAGGACTCCTTAGCCAGTCTGCCCGGGCAATGGAGCCCTTTGTGCCTGTCTCCTCATTTGAAAATTAAAAGGTTGGTAATAGTACCAACCTCAAAATGTAGGGAAACAAGTCCTATGTAACTTACTGTTTCCCCAGTGTCTACTACTCTGCTTAGCAGACACTCAAATATTAATATCTGTTATACTACACTGCTTAATAAATGTCATCCTTAGGGGAACAAAAAGGAAAGTTAAAAAGAACCACAGTCCACAGAGTAGCATCCATAAGATACTGACATAATTAACACAAATCTGAGCCAAAGGGAAAGGTATTCTTGCCCTGAGTTCACTTTGCCCATTCATTATCACATACTGTGACAGGAAATGCCAAATAGGAATTAATCTTTCCCCTCATCACTAGACTAACCAAACTGCTATTTATGTTAAGAAAGATACCTCAATGTCCTCTGGCATGCCCCACCCCGACTTTGAAGACCACATTTGTGATCCTGAGAAATTTAACTCAGTAACTTCCAAGTGATATCTTGTCATGCTGTCATTTGTTAAATGTACTGAAACCTAACAATGCACAAAAGTCACAGTAGACAGAATTGCTCTCCTGTGGTTAAAGCTTTTCCAATTGGTCTAATCTCTTGTCTGGATGTGTGATTAAGTTACCAAATGAATACCATTCAAGTTGTTTGGGCAAAGTAGTAGAAACTCCCACAAATCACACATTCCTAAAAGTTATCAAAGCTCCCACAAAGGAGCTTTAGGGACTGTTTATATTGCAATAAAGAGTACTTCCAACCAACTATCTTCCTATCCAGACTTCTTTAATTAGAAATTGCAAGGTTTCTGCTGATGACACTAGCAAAACCATCAATTGTAGTTGGCTTTCCCTGGTGGTCCAGACAGTAAAGAAGCTGCTTGCAATGCAGAAGACCCAGGTTCAATTTCTGGGTGGGAAAGATACCCTGAAGAAGGGAATGGCTACTCACTTGAGTATTCTTGTCTGGAGATTTCCATGAACAGAGGAGCCTGGCGGGCTACAGTCTATGCAGAGCAAAAAGTCATACACAACTAAGCGACTAACACTAATGCTTTCACTACAGTCATATTAAAATTCAAACAACCAAAATGGTAAAGAAAGACTGAGGATTAAAAAAAAAGTCCTGTCCACTAAATTCATTCATTCACTCCATAAATATTCATATAGCTACTGTAGAAGTAAAGAACATCATAAAGATTCTACTCATTGTAATCAAAAAATGAAGTCATCTCTTAAAACTTTGCTGATTTCTTAGGTTATCGTAAAGATTGCATTCATTGTAATCAAAAACTGAAGTCATCTCTCAAAATTTTGCTGATCTCTTGGTGGTTTAGTTGCTAAGTCGTGTCCAACTCTTGTGACCCCACAGACTACAGTCTGCCAGGCTCCTCTGTCCATGAGATTCTCCAAGCAAGAATACTGGACTGGGTTGCCATTTCCTTCTCCAGAGGCTCTTCTGGACCCAGGGATCAAACCCAGGTCTCCTGCATTGTAGGCAGATTCTTTACCAATTGAGCTATGAGGGAAGCCCTCAGGCTGATCTCTTAGGTCATCACAAACTGTTGCCATTAAAAGTTTAAAATGGGGGGGGGGGGGGATAAACTGGGGGGAAAAAAAATCAGAGATTATGTGACAGAAACCACATGTAATCTGAAAAGCCTAAAATATTTACTATCTGGGCCCTTTGAGAAAAGATTTGATAACCCTCAAGGGCATAAGTTGTTTATTTAGTAAAGTGTAAGGACACACTGGGCTTCCCAGGTGGCGCAGTGGTGAAGAATCCACCTGTCAAGGCAGGAGATGGCAGAGACACAGGTTCAATCTCTGGATCAGGAAGATCCCCTGAAGAAGGAAATGGCAACCCACTCCAGTATTCTAGCCTGGGAAATCCCATGAACAGAGGAGCCTGGTGGGCTACAGACAATGGGCTCGCAAAGATTCGGACACAATTAAGCACACACACACATCCCACCACCGCACCAAGAACAGAAATCTTTGCAGTAGGAGGGCTATTTGAAAAAGAAAAGGCTAACCTGAAAAGAAAAACATCTCTTTATACTGAAATTATTGTAAACATTGGACACTACCTAAGCACTTTACATTAGTGATAAAGTAAAAGAAATCTCTTTAAATCTCTTTAAATGTATGGAGGTAATAAACATGAAATTCAGGATAATGTTCAACTTCTGAGGTAGAGGAAAGGGATGCGGAGGGATACAGTGGGATTCTAGCTGTAATGATTCTTCTGTTTCTAAACAAGAGATGCTTGTTATATTGTTCTTTGTAATTTTTTATAGGTCTGACCTATTTTTTAACTGACAATAAAAATGAAATTAAAGAAAGCCACATAGAAAAGGTAATACTGCCTGACTTAATTAAATGATCAAAATAATATAAAAATTTGTCTTTGAATATGGGCTGGTTTTTTTAATCTTCAAGACAAGTAACTATTAACAGAGGCCCCACAGTGCAATTGGTAATTGGCTAGACTTCAGGTTACCACCAAGTGTCTTCTCAGGCACCTACTTTAGAGTTAGCTATTACCTTTGATATATACAACTCAAGCGACCAAAACTATGTAGGCAATAACCTAAGAAAGTTTGTTAATACACTTTTAAAATAACCTTTTAATTTTAGGATATGTTTGGATTTACAGAAAAGTTTCTGAGAGTTGGTAGAGTTTTTAATATCACAGCAACAAAAATAGACACAAAACCCACACATACACCAGCCAACTGTGTAGGGCATCTAAAAGGCCAAATCAATCAAATATTTGGTTAAGCAATAAATAGTACAAGTATGTTCTTCCTCTCCTAGCACATTTTAAAGCTGGGAAATGATGCAGAAACTAATCAGGAGAGAAGTGAACACCTTCACCCACCCACTGGAAAATATAACACAATTTTAGTTGTCTCCTTTATTTTTAAAACATAAACTCATTCTACAACTTAAATTTTAAAAACAAAGATGTTTATTTGTTTACTAAGGATTAAGAAAATATTGCTTCTAGAACAAAGTGAAGAGGTAAATGATTACTTTTTTAGAGATGATGGAGAGGATGGTAATAACAACTTAAGTGCTAAAACATCTGTTTAGTAGGTGTGCAGTCGTTTCCAAACTGATCAACTGCAAGGAGTGGCATACATAATGACACCTAAATCTTTGTCGACAGTATTTCTTTAAAAAGCACATTTCACTAAAGAACAGCGGCGAATTTCTCCTCAATAGCAGTTTAAACAATAAACTCAGACACAAATATCCTTTCTTCTGAAAAGAACAAAACAAAATACTAATTTACTACTCACAGTAACCTGGTGTCATTTTCTCAAACAGAAAGCAGGAAACGAAGAAACAGGGAGGTCTGGTTCCTTCAGAAAATTGCGAACAAAATCCCTCTCCTAGGACCGCGCAAGAAGGAGCCCGGCAGCGAAGCCCAGGGCTCGGAACCCTGCAAGCTCGCCCTACCTGCATCTCACCACCACCTGGATGTTCTTCCCCTTTTCATCTTTCTTCTTCGTAGACGAATTCGGCTGAGACGCCATGACTGTCCCCTAAGAAGGCCGGGTCACGGACTCGGGCGCCGTGGGGCGTGGAGCGGCTCGGCAGCTGGCGCGGACCTGGGTGCCCTCCACCCCTGCCGGGTGCTGGCGTGCCCGCGGAAACCGCTATCCACCAGGAACCGTGACTGACCGCGGCGTCTGCCCCGCACTAGCCCGAGCCTTGGAATGACAAACCTAGTCTCCGCCCGAAACCCAGGAAACTGAGCAACGACTCGGCGCCTCAATTTGAAAAAGGAGCCGACTGGCCGGGCCAATGGGAGCGCTGGCACGCAAAGCACCATGGGACGCGGTGTCGTCACCAGACCTCGCCCCCAGGGCGTGGTCCGCGGGAAAGTAAATAGCTGGTTCGGCGCTGCACCCCGAACGTGTAGTCTAGTGTGAGACTCCCTGTGAGTGGTGTCACACTTCGACGTGGTCTTGCTCAAATTACAGAACGTCTCTAGGCCAGAATTTCCTCATCTGCAGAATGGGACTGATAGCAACTGTCTCACTGGTGAGGGTAAATAGTTTAGACTAGAACGACCATATAAGCGCTCGGGAAACCTAGCCGTTCTTGTAAATGATTTTAGAGAATTGTAAGATAGTGCTGTGGGAGCACAGAAAAGAGGTCCAAAGCAAGCCCCTTTCTCAGAGGAAGAGTCCAGAATCGTCTTGAAGAATAATTAGGAAATGTTAAGGCTAAAAAAGACACTGAATATTACTTTAGGACTATGAATTTATCCTTTGATGAGAACTCGTCCTCGCCAAATGATTCCAAGCAAGAAAGCAAGGTCAGATTTGCGTTTTCCGACCACGGTCCTGCAGCAGCTATTGCAGGCTCAATCTACGTGGCGCAGCATCCCGCAGGCATCTCGAGGTTGCGCAAACGCCCAGGGCCGTCGGCCTACAACTCCCGGCAGGCAACGCTACCGGGCTCCTCTCGCCCTCGGTGACCGCCGGTTCCGTAGGAGTACGCTGGGCGTTTTGTCAGTGTTTACGGTTACTCGACCAGATTAGATGTGGGTTGCAGATCCAAGAAATAAAGAATCATGGGCCTGTGCTATACTCGGCTCTGGGAACTTCGCTTTGGGTCCATCCTTAGCCCACAGGAACCTAGATATATTTGTAGTTTCCTAAGTAATGATGTGATGATGGCCAGATGGGGTGGAAATTTAGCAGGCCTCCTTAAGTGTTCCTCTGCTTATTAACCTACCTTCTTCCTCCAAGGAATCAACACATCTACAGCTTAGATGAATGGTCATCTCATCCTGCATAGCCAGTTGTCTACTGATACCTCCTCTCAGATGGCTCACCAGCATCTAAATGAACCTATCCAAAATGGCACTCTTCACCCTAAGCCCCTTACCTCCACCCTGATCTTTCTGGTTTAGACAGGTGGTTCTAATCAGACCTTTGATTCCTTTGTTCTCCTTGTCCAATGCAGACCTGTTGGTTTTATCACTTGTGCCTACCACTCTAGTCCAAGTCTCTTTTATCTCTAACCTGAATGACTGTCCTTAATAAGCTCCTTAACAGGTTTCCCTACTTCTGTTCTTTTCCATTCCCATCTCTTTTGCTTAGCAAAGGGAAGGCACTTTTTAAGAACAGAACAGACCATGCTCTTCGTGTACTTTTTAACCTTACATTAGCTTTTCATTGTTCTTGAGATAAAATCCAAAGTTCTTACCATGTCCTGTACAGACCTTGTCAAGAAGGGGGAAATTTTTAGGATAGGTGAACTATTTTGATTTCTTATTGCTGGACTAATGATGAAATTGACAAAATACAGGTTAACAGGAGAAAAAAACAACATAAATTTTAATTGGAACAGAGGGAGGTCTCATAGAAATGGGACCTAGGAAGTGGCAAAGCAGGCAGCTTATCATTTTAAACAAAGAAGCTATAAATTTGTGAAAAATTGACAAGACAAACTTAGTTTTGGGTGATCAATTAGTGAAGAATCTAAACAGTTTAGGTTTGGGGTAGCAAATTAAAAGTAACAAGATTTGTTTAACCAGACTTCTTGCCTGAATTCCCTGTCTCTGGCCAGAGGATGTCCTTTTACCTCCAGATGCGGGGAGTGCACCTTTCCTGTGAGAGATTATTTCCTTCTCCTAGGGATACAGAGAGTCAAAGAATCCCTCTAGCATTGGCCATTTATTAAGTAACGTTAATTCCAAAGTATCAAAATAACATTAAGGGACTGTCTCCTGAGAAATACGTATGCAGATCAAGAAGCAACAGTTAGAACCGGACATGGAACAGACTGGTTCCAAACTGGGAAAGGAGTACGTCAAGGCTGTATATTGTCACCCTGCTTATTTAATTTATATGCAGAGTACATCATGCGAAATGCCAGGTTGGATGAAGCACGAGCTGGAATCAAGATTGCCAGGAGAAATATCAATAACCTCAGATATGCAAATGACACCACCCTTATGGCAAAAAGCAAAGAAGAACTAAAGAGCCTCTTAATGAAAGTGAAAGAGGAGAATGAAAAAGTTGGCTTAAAACTCAACATTCAGAAAACTAAAATCATGGCATCAGTCCCATTACTTCATGGCAAATAGATGGGGAAACAATGGAAACAGTGACAGACTTTATTTTTGGGGGGGGCCCTCCAAAATTGCTGGAGATGGTGACTGCAGCCATGAAATCAAAAGACACTTGCTCCTTGGAAGAAAAGCTATGACCAACCTAGACAGCATATTAAAAAGCAGAGACATTACTTTGCCAAACAAGGTCCGTTTAGTCAAAGCTATGATTTTTCTAGTAGTCATATATGGATGTGAGAGTTGGACTATAAAGAAAGCTGAGCACCAAAGAATTGATGCTTTTGAACTGTGGTGTTGGGGAAGACTCTTGAGAGTCCCTTGGACTGCAAGGAGACCAAACCAGTAAATCGTAAAGGAAATCAGTCCTGAATATTCACTGGAAGGACTGATACTGAAGCTAAACTCCAATACTTTGGCCACCTGATGCAAAGAAATGACTCATTGGAAAAGACCCTGATGCTGGGAAAGACTGAAGGCAGGAGAAGAAGGGAACAACAGAGGATGAGATGATTGGATGGCATCAGTCAATGGATATGAATTTGAGTAATCTCTGGGAGATGGTGAAGAGCAGGGAAGCCTGGTGTGCTGCAGTCCATGAGATTACAAAGAGCCGGACACTGAGCAACTGGACTGAACTGAACTTGGTTGTACAGTGGTTAAGAATCTGCCTGCCAATGCAGAGGACACAAGTTCAATCCCTGGTCCAGGAAGATTCCGCATGCCTCAGAGCAAATAAGTCTGTAGACCACAGCTACTGAAGCCCATGTGCCTAGAGCCTATGCTCCACAACAACAGAAACCATCTCAATGAGAAGCCCACACAGTAGAGAGTAGCCCTCGCTCCAGGAAACTAGAGAAAGCCTGCACCCTGCACACACCCGTGTGTGCGCATGTGCCTGCTAAGTTGCTCCAGTCATGTCTGACTCTTTGCGATCCTAAGGACTATAGCCTGCCAGCTTCCTCTGTCCAAGGGATTCTCCAGGCAAGAATACTGGAGTGGGTTGCCCTGCCCTCCTCCAGGGGATCTTCCCAACCCAGAGATGGAACCCAAGTCTCATGCCGCCTGTATTGACAGGCAGGTTCACTACCACTAGCACCACCTGGGAAGCCCAACAAAGACTCAGTGCAACCCCCAAAATTAATTAATTGATTGATTAAAAATATGGCACCGAGGTACATTTTGGGGCAGCCTACCATGGGCCCCAACACTCTCATGATCTGACCTTGGCCTGCACAAACAGCTCCAGCCATTACCATGTTCCAGAGTTTCTAAGTTCTTTCCTGCAACCATACCTTTGTATTTGTATGTCTATACAGCCAGACCTGTACTATCTCCCTACAGCCGTCTAGTTTGGCTCCTTGGATGCCTTACCCATTCTTATCTTTCAAATCTCAGCTCAACTTTCTCTTTAAAAAGGCCTTTCTTGACTATGCTATATAAATATATAAACATTTCTCCTATAATTTTCTATCTCAAGACCCTCTTTATTTCCTTTATAACTCTTACTACAATCTATAATTACAGTATATTGTCTATCTACTTTTCTAGAATGTAAGTTCTGTGATTGTTTTGTTCAGTATTGTTTTCCCAGTATCTTGAATGGAACCTTACACAAAGTAGTCACTAAATAAATGAGTGTGTGCATGTGTGCTAAACTGCTTCAGTCATGTCCAACTCCATGTGACCCTATGGACTGTAGCCCACCAGGCTCCTCTGTCCAGTGGGTACCTGAAGGAAATTGCCTAACTTCTCCCAACTTTGGTTTCCTTATCTGCAAAATGGAGATAATAATGATTACTATTATTGTAAGAATTAAAATAATAACATATAAAAAGTACCTGGCACATGATAAGCCAAAAACAAAAAAAATTTCTTCTCCTTTTCTTTCTCATTGGTAAACATCTAAACAATACTTAGGGAATTCCTTGGTGGTCCAATGGTTGGGACTGTGCATTTTTACTGCTGGGGCCTGGTTAGATACCTGGTCCCGGAACTAAGTTTCCACAAGCTGGCCTGCATGGCCAAAAACAAAAACAGTGTTTACACTAGCAATCGTTTGAGTTGAGGCAAGAAATTCAAGAGTCTCCATTTGGTAATAGTTATAGCTGACATTTATCTAGGGTTCTCATGCGTCAGACCATGAAATACTTTGTATGCACCATCTTATTTAATCTTCAGGACAACTTTTTGAAGCAGAAACTAGTATTTCTCACTATATGAAAAAGAAGCCAAGTTAGCATATTTTTTTATAGTCTACATCTAATAAGTAACAGAGAAGGACTTCAGAATTCTTTCTGAGCCCAAATCCCAGATTGTTAACTGCTATCTTCCTCACTAATTTACCTCGGTTTTTCATGTGGTCAGTGTGGTTAGTGTTCCTGCACCCCATTTTCACCATACACTTATTGAGTTGCTTGTTATGAGCCAGGCATTGTAGAAATAGGTTGA